CGAGTTTGAAGCATACGCAATTTACCACCACAATGAAAATAGAAATTTGTACAAAAATAGAAGAGTTTCAGTCTGATAGTATAAACTCCGTTTTTTTCGCTGATTCAAGTTTAAAATTTGAGTTTTGCTATAGTAAATAATTTTCAGAAACAGTCACGTTTAACTTTTTTGTTACAGTAAAAAGCTCTCACACAACATCACATCTCAACTTGAATTAAAAACTCGAATTAACGAACCGAACAGACATATTTATTAATGTTGCGGCATTTAGAATTTCAAACAACACGTCATAATTTTTATGAGTGAGAGCTAATAAAGAGAGAATTAATAATTACAACAAGAATTTAAAAGGTATAAAATTATAGTTTAATTTTTCAGAGGGAGTTTTGTTCAATTTTTTAAAAATATTCTTATTTAAATATAGAAAAAAAAGGAAAGAAAAAAGAGTCACTTTAATTATATCAGAGTTACGTTCTTGATAACATGTACCCATTAGAAATTTCTTTTATATTCTTCAATAAAATAAAAGAAAAATAGCACATTGTGTCATAACATAACTACGTCACTGACAACACGTACCTGTTAGAAATTTCTTTCATATTCTTTAAAAAAAAAAAAAAAAAAGAGCCCCTCTAGTGATAACATAACTACGTTCTTGACAACACGTACTCATTAGAAATTTCTTTCATATTCTTCAAGAAAATGAAAGAAAAAATAGCCCCTCATGTCATAACATAGCTACGTCCCTGACAACACGTACCCATTAGAAATTTCTTTCATATTTTTCAAAAAAAAGGAAAGAAAAAAGAGCATCTCTAGTCATAACATAACTACGTCCCTGACAACACGTATTCGTTAAAAATTTCTTTCATATTCTTCAAGGAAAAAAAAAAAGAAAAAATAGCCCTTCTAGTCATAACATAGTTGCGTCTCTGACAACACACACTCGTTAGAAATTTCTATCATATTCTTCAAAAAAATGAAAGAAAAAAGAGCATCTCTAATCATAACATAGCTACGTTCTTGATAATACGTACCCGTTAGAAATTTCTTTTATATTCTTTAAGAAAAGAAAAGAAAAAAAAGTCTCTCTAATTATAACATAGCTACATCCCTAACAATACATACCCGTTTGAAATTTCTTGCATATTCTTCAAGAAATTCTCATAAATTAGAAAAAGTTTGTTGATGAAGGTCTCATTTATTTTACTAATTTAAGTTTTTAATTTTAATTTTATTATAGTTAAAAACTCTCATAAAAAATTATATTTTATTTTTTATTACAATAAAAAATTTTCATATAAAATTATATTTTAACTCAAATTAAAAATTTAAATTTATAAATTGAATCAGGCCGAAATAGGACTGTTCATGGGTTGGGTTGGTGCGGGGTAGGATTTTTTGTTCTCCGCCCCAAAGGGTGCAGGTTGCACATATTTAGCCCCAACGATGCTAGAAAAATTTCACAACCCAACGATGTTCGGGTTGGGTTGGGGCAGTGCGGGGTGGGTTGGGTGGTCGGTTTCAACATTCAAAAAATTAAAGACTTAAAGTTCAATATAATATTCAAATTTCATCATTAAATAGAAATAGCAACCATCTTTATCAGTCCATATAACATCAAACATGAAGCAAAATAGTCCATCCAACATCAAATACAAAGCAAACATAAATTAGTCTACACTTATAAATTAGTCTTAACATAAAACAAATAGCTTAAGCAAAGCAAACATAGAGGCTTAAATATTAATTCAAATCCATCCAAAGCAAACATTGCAACATCAACCATCTTTATCAATCCACACTCATAGGCTCCTCAATGGTTGTAGTAGGACATGAAGTTGAGTTATCTACAAGAGAAATGAAAATAGTTTAAGTAATAATTTAGATAGTTTAGAGTTCATATAATAAAATAGATTAAGATACATACAAATTATTGTCTTACCTAGAGATGTCTTACCTAATGTCAGCGAGCCTAGGGTAGAACTTGGGCAGGTTGGACTTAGGCCAAAAGCTTGGAGGTATGTTGTGCGGGTTGAGTTGGAAATTACGAATTGTTATGGGCCTAACCCGCAATCCGCCCCAAACACTTCAAGTCAGAGATATAATAAGCCAAAAATTTAAAAATAATAATGCATATTACTTTTTTTAACTTGAGTTGAGACGAGATGAGTTAAATTTACAAATTAAATTTACAAATTATTCGGGTTTATAAATAGTCCTAGCCGAAAGCATGTGATGACTTACAAGAGCATCATTTTTTTATAATAAGTAGACAAATTTGAGGCTTTGCATTTATCCATTTGCTAATAATTCCAATCTCACCCTTTCCAATGGATGCATGTGATCTCTGGTCCCACCGCCGCATACCATTCAAAACGTAATCCTTGTGTCGTCTCAACTCAACATTGGAAACTTGTTTTTGTTAAAAAAACAAAGCCATGAGATTTTTTATACAGATTAAAAAAATACGTAAAATAAGGAAATTCTTTTTCGTGTTCATTATTTTTTTTAATAGCTATTAAAGAAGGAAATTCTTTACAAGGAAATTCTTTACCGTATAAACTCATAAGTACTCTATTGATAGAGTAGTCTTTTATTATTAAATTATTTTTTAACAGTTAAATTTATAATAAAATGATTATGTATAATTTATTGTAAATTTTAATATGAATATGTGTGAATTTTATCATTAAAAAATTAATCTAACAATAAAAGATAGTGTTTCATCAGTGGAACACTTATTAAGGTTCCACAGTAAATAATCCTATTAAAGAAGAGAGTTTTTTTATAGGACTAAAAAAATAAATTATTAATAATTTTTTATTTTTAGTGATTAAAACTATATAAAAATTGTATATTATATATCTTTTTTAATATGATATCATTTTAATAAAATTTAACATCAGAAATTGACCTTACTAATACGGAGGGCTTATTGCAAAAAGTTCCACTAAAGAAATTCCATTCTTTTTTAATAGAGAAAAAGGAGACAAACCCTTTAATATATACAAGTTTAATATCTTTTTGATCAAATAATTATATTATTTTAAAATATATATTAATAAAAATAAATGATAAAAATTTAGATTCATCGGCTACTAAGTTTAACAATTGTCTCTTTTTTATCCCTTTGCTAAATATTAAACCCGTGAGATTACTTGGCCCGTTTATTACGGTGGGAAGAGAAAAATATTGCAAGATAGGTTGGTTGGTAGGTAGAACATCCTCGTCCCATATCATCACTCACCCACTCTTTATAATTAGAGTTAAAAATCACAAGGGACACACACCCGTGAGTGTGATTAAAAAAACGCGTAGCATTCAAGGCTTTTCACGTAGAGATATTGTTTTGTTTTAATTTTTATTGACGGTGTTTTTCCGTCAACTCGTGATTATCTCTCCAGAAACAACGCGCGTTGACACTCACGGTATACTTAAAGATTAAGACTGAAGAACAATGTAGAGAATACAACAATTTTATAGTGGTTCGGCAATAATTCTTTGCCTAATCCACTTGTGCATGCACTAATCTTTTAATCGGTTACAAGCTCTCTTTCTTTAATAATGAAATGGTCTCTAATCCTTTTTTGGGTTCTTTTCGCTCTATTTATAGGCAGTTACAAACAACTAAGCCTTCTCCGTTCCCAAGGAGGAAGCCATCTCACATTCTCGATATTCGGGAGGGTAAGTGAGTTTTAATGATGACAACCTCAGGAAATGCGGCTGACCCCTCTCATCTGCCGCACGATCCACTGACTCCTGCAGTAACCGTTGGATTGATGCTTTCTTCCCTGAGTTGACAAGACGGCTGACGGGCTTGACTCGGCGGGATGCCTCGACGCTGTGGCTCATGAAGGTCAAGTCTCTATCCTCGGCGACTGTCTCCACGTCTCATCTCTCGGCGTAGAGGGAACCTTAGCTACAACCACTCCTCCGACCCAAGCGGTCGATTCAGAACGGGGAGTCCTCGGCGCCTAGTATCGAGAGTGTGGTCGATTCTTCGACCATGGTGTAACAATTTTTTTTAATTATTTTTAAATATATCTAAGCTTTCCGCAATTAGTTAGCCATCACTGCAATGTTTAATTATAATAAATTATTTTGTGTAGTGTTAGAGACACCAATTTTAATTCTAATTACTTTATACCAATTTATGTAATATAGAGTTAGTCATTACTATTTTGTACTAACTTAGTGATATACAGTTATTATTCTTTTTTCTGATAGATATAGTTGACATGATAATCTTTTAAACAATTAATAATAAAATTGATATTAAATCGATGAAAGTTATTTGAATTTGATTGGAAACGTTTTCATATATAAGCTCGTTTGACTTGATCTAGGGAAAAAAGGCTCGTTTGAAGGAGAATTTTAACATCATTTACATGCAATATTTCATTAATTAAAAGAGTAATTACCACGCTTAAAAAAATTTAAAGACAATTTGTCAACTTAAACAAAATCTAAGAGATAAAAGTGTCAAAAGACTCAAAAAATATTCACTGGTAATCTAAGATAAAACTTGGAAGTTATTACTTTGTCAGATGGTAGACCGGTGAGAGGATTTTGGTTCGCAGTTTGGGCAATGACTAAGGAAATTCTTGTCAAGTGGATCCCACAAGAGAATTAATTGGGCATTAAAAAGTGCAAAAATAAAAAAATTATCACACAACACCTCTAAGAAAAGAGGTAAAGGATTGGCACATCTTTCGGTTCTGATGAAACTGAGCAAGATGTTCACAAGGACCAAAAAGAGAGAAGTTTTAGCTAGCCAACGAATCTGAGAAGACTGAAGACAGAAAAGGGTTAAAAGAAAAAGCCTGGAACGCACGTGACTAAAGTTAATCAAGCCCTCAATTGGGGTCTCACTCTTTTTGTCATAACGCAATCATTCTAAAAATAGTTTTTTTTTTTTTTTTTTTTTTTTTTTTTGAGAAACAAAAGCAAATGAGCTCTATAAGGCATAAGCAGCTAGCTCCGCATCATCTCACACTTCCAGCTATACACTCTCATTCAATTGAAAGACAACCTCACTCTTTTCTTTTTATCCTTTTTTTTTTTTCTATCAATTAATTTATTTTTCCTTTTTTATGTGGTGTCTAACTTTTAAAAAAGAAAAAAAGAAAAAACGTTTCTATATATCTCAACTCACTAGAGCAAACACAGAGGAACTGATCAGATTTCAGATCAAGACCATTACACTAAACAGACATGTTTAATCTCTTACTGATTTTTTTCATGCTTCTGGGCATATCCCACGCCCAGAATGAGAAAACGACATACGTCGTCCGCATGGCGAGCCACCAAATGCCGAAGGCCTTCGAGCGCCACGCCCACTGGTACGCCGCGTCGCTCAAATCGGTTTCCCCATCGGCCGATATGCTCTACACCTACAACAATGTCGTGCACGGCTTCTCCACCAGACTGACCGACGACGAGGCCCGATCTCTCCAGGGCCAGCCCGGAGTCATCTCCGTCTGGCCGGAGCTCAAGTACGAGCTCCACACCACTCGGACGCCGGAGTTCCTCGGACTCGGCAAGAGCACCGACGCGCTCTTCCCCGAGACCGACTCGGTCAGTGACGTAGTCGTCGGAGTACTCGACACCGGCGTTTGGCCGGAAAGCCACAGCTTCGCCGACGACGGGCTCGGCCCGGTTCCGGCCAGCTGGAAGGGATTCTGCGAGGAAGGGACGAACTTCACTTCCTCGCATTGCAATCGGAAGCTCATCGGAGCGAGATTCTTCTCCAGAGGCTACGAGGCGACGCTGGGCCCCATCGACGCTTCTCGCGAGTCGAAGTCGCCTCGGGACGACGACGGCCATGGGACCCACACGGCGAGCACGGCGGCGGGATCTGTCGTGGAGGGAGCCAGCTTGTTCGGGTTCGCTGCCGGGACGGCGCGTGGGATGGCCACGCGCGCGAGAGTGGCCGTGTACAAGGTCTGCTGGCTCGGTGGCTGTTTCAGCTCCGACATATTGAAGGGATTAGACCAAGCCGTGGAGGACAACGTTAATGTTTTGTCCATGTCTCTCGGCGGCGGAATGTCCGAGTACTACAGAGACAGCGTGGCGGTCGGAGCTTTCGCGGCGATGCAGAAGGGGATATTTATATCCTCCTCCGCCGGTAATGCGGGTCCCAGCGATTTTAGTTTATCAAACGTGGCGCCGTGGATCACTACGGTAGGCGCGGGCACACTGGATCGGGACTTCCCGGCTTACGTCAGCCTCGGCAGCGGGCAAAACTACTCAGGCGTGTCGCTGTACAAAGGTGACGCATTGCCCCACGGGATGTTGCCTCTTATCTACGCCGGTAACGCCAGCAATGCCACGAACGGAAATCTTTGCATGATGGGGACGCTGATTCCAGAGAAAGTCGCCGGAAAAATGGTGCTCTGCGATCGAGGACTCAACGCCAGAGTCCAGAAAGGCGCGGTGGTCAAAGCCGCCGGCGGACTGGGGATGGTCTTGGCTAACACCGCCTCCAATGGCGAAGAGCTCGTTGCCGACGCCCACCTTTTGCCGGCGAGCTGCGTCGGCGAGAAATCCGGTAACGCCATAAAGAAGTACCTTTTCTCCGATACGAACCCGACGGTGACGATTCTCTTCGAGGGGACGAAGGTCGGGGTCCAGCCGTCGCCGGTAGTGGCGGCGTTCAGCTCGAGGGGGCCGAACTTGATCACGCCACAGATTCTCAAGCCCGATATCATCGCGCCAGGTGTCAACATCATAGCGGGATGGTCGGGGAAGCTGGGTCCCACCGGGCTGGCCATCGATTCACGACGCGTGGCGTTCAACATCATCTCCGGGACGTCGATGTCGTGCCCTCACGTCAGCGGTCTCGCGGCGCTTCTCAAAGGGGCCCACCCGGAGTGGAGCCCAGCCGCGATCCGCTCGGCTCTTATGACCACGGCGTACTCGTCGTACAAGGACGGCCAGATATTGCTCGACATTGCCACCGGGAAGCCGTCCACGCCGTTCGATCACGGTGCCGGACACGCGGATCCCGTGGCGGCCCTTGATCCCGGTTTGGTATACGACTTAACCGTCGACGATTACTTGGATTTCCTCTGCGCTTTAAACTACACCGATGATCAAATAAGTGGGCTTACGAGGAAAGAGTTCTCCTGCGACGCGAAGAAAAAATACAGTGTGACCGATCTTAACTACCCTTCATTTGCCGTAAATTTTCAGAGCAATGGAGGATCTAGCGTGTATAATTACAGTCGTACACTGACTAATGTGGGCCCAGCGGGGACGTACAAGTTGTCGTTGAAATCGGAGACCCAATCGGTAAAGATCTCGGTTGAGCCCGAAACGCTGTCGTTTAGTCACGCGAATGAGAAGAAAAGCTATACGGTGACGTTTACTGCGGTCGGTTCGATGTCGCCGGACTCGAAAAGTTTTGGTCGTATCGAGTGGTCGGACGGTAAGCACATTGTTGGCAGTCCAATTGCGTTTAGCTGGAGCTGACAAGAGGAAGAATTAGGAGAAGCTAATTAAGGTTTAATAATCAATACTAATTCATCCCACTCAAAGAGGGGTTTGATCGCTTTTCCAAAGTTATATCTATGATGTTCTTTCCTGCTTATTATTTATTATAATGGAAGCTGCATAACACATTTTAGGTTTTTGTCTTAAGAGAGAAAAACAAGGAAAATCATGAAAAGAGGTGGTGGGGTGTTATTGTTGCTTTTTATTTTAGTGTATATTGTTCTTGGGCAAAGCCCACGTATACATATAATGTGTACACATATGCCTAGTTGAAAATTAAATGAAGCCTTATATTTATTTGCTTCCTTGTTTCTATTCTATGCCGTTCTTTGTTTTTGTTTTTTTTTTTTTCTTTTTGCCCCTTGCGCATTCCTAAGCATTTCATACGTTGGATATTTTTTTGGACAAATTTTATAAATTCTCTCTAAATTTTGTTACTTGTGTTAACATGTCATTTTTAACTTTAAAATGTGTATATTGTGTCCTTAAATTTTGTCACGTGTCAATATGTCAGATGAAGTTAATTTTGTTAAGTTTTTTAATAGAAATGTTAATAAATGCCTCCTGAATTTTATCACTTGTGTCAATATGTCTCTTGAATTTTAAAATGTACTTATTTTATCTCCCGAACTATGATATGTCTTCAATTTCTTTTCTCTAACTTGATTCTATTAGTTTTTTGAATGAAAATATTAATATGATTATTAAATTCATAATTATTTATAGTATTTGAGGTTTGTTGAGTACCATCTCCTCTAAAAATGTTAGTTAAGCACAAATTCTCAAAACATTAGTTGATTAGAGATAATAAAAAAGGAAAAAATGAAAGAGCAAATATGTATAATGTAATGAATTTTGTTAGTATTTTTTTAATATTTCACCTATATAGAAGTGATTGACATAAAACATGTTTACGCTTTATACATATATAACATTTTTAAATTTGAATGCGTTCAGGTCATTTATTTTATTGTACATTTAAAAAAATCAACACAAATCTTAAGAAATCCATTAACTTAACAAACTTTAATGGTCAAATATCATAAATAATTAGCAATTTAATTGTTATATCAAAATTTTCGTTCAAAAAATTGATAGAATTAAGATGTAGGGAGAAAAGTTGGAGACATATAATAGTTATGGGGGAAAAATAAGTACATTTTAAAGTTCATGGGTGTTTATAAGCATTTCCGTTAAAAAAACTTAACGGAGTTAACCTTAGGAGCATAACATACACATTTTAAAATTCAGAGGACATGTACACAAGTGACAAAGTTCAAGAGCAAAACATACACATTTTAAAGTACAATGGGCATGTACATATTGACACAAATGACAGTTCAGAGAGAATTTATAAAATTTATCCTTTTTTTGTAAGAAACTTTAGATAACTTATACCACTTCGAGCAACTAATAATCATATTAGTTGGATAATAAAGGCCTTATTCATTTCATGACTCAAATTATGATTCAAGTCATATTGTTATAGTGTTTTCTCTTATAAAAATTTAAATTTAAGGGTAATTTGCACAGATGGTCTCCAAACTCTTTAGTAAGTGACAGTTTGGTCCCTAATCTTTTTTTTAACAAAACGACCCCTAATCTCTTTAAAAGGTGACAGTTTTGTCCTTTTCATCAAATTCCATTAAATTTTTAACAGAACATGTCACGTGACTATTTTTTCAATAAAATGACTTAAATGCCCCATTAGAAGAAGACTTTTCTAATGGAGGCATTTAAGTCATTTTACTGAAAAAATGAGTCACGTGATGGGTCACGTAACATATTCTGTTAAAAATTTAATAGAATTTGACGAAAATGACTAAACTGTCACCTTTTAAAGAGGTTAGGAGTCGTTTTACAAAAAAAAAAAAAAAGATTATAGACCAAACTATTACTTACTAAAAAATTTAGAGACCGTCTATACAAATTATCTTAAATTTAATTTTTTTATTACAATATTTGTTTCTCATATACACACCTCAAAACTCAAATTGTAATTCAAGTTACTTGCATTAAGATGATTGTGCATGCTACTAATAACCTCGGATGCGCTTTTCTTGCTTTATGAGAAATCTTTTCTTATGAAGTACTTTTTTCCTTTTTTCAGTTTAAATGAGAAATAGCTTTTTGCTTGTTATTTGTTGTCCCCCTTTTCCACCTACTATGTCCACTAACAAACTTTTACTCGGTACATTTGAGAGATTTCCAACGAGTTTTTAGTTTAGACTTCTAATTTTGCAATTTGCATCTTTATAATTAGAATATTTCTTTCTTTTCATTTACAACTTTTTGCGTATTTAAGTAGGATTTTCCTTTCCTCACATTTTGCCTTCGTTCATATGAATTTATTTGCAAATTACAAGTTAACAGCTCTCAAGAGTAATTGTGTACAGAGTGCAGCGGTGCTTTCATTCAGTACCACTACCATTATTGCCGTTAGTTGGGAGAATGTTTGAAATTATAATGCTAAATCTAACTCCCTTACATATTCAAATTGCATCATAATGAGCATGAAATCGTGGTCAAAAGACATTTTTACTTGTCCCTTCCATTTAGAGCTATATTACACAGTATAGCTAGCAAGGGTGAATACAGGATTGCTATGTTGGGCAAAGTACTTATTGAAGTTGTAAAAGTAATCTTAAGCACATCCACACCTAGGGCTGTTTATAAACCCGTAAAATCCGCAGGTTCAATCTACCACACTCCAACCTAATTTGAAAAATGTAATTTTTAGTATTAAAATTTTTTTTTTTCGGCCCATTCAATGTTTGGCCCGAAGTTTTTGGGCGGGGTGTGGGTTGGGCCTATAATGGCCCACACACTCCAACCCAACCCACGTTCCAACTTGCCTCCTCTAATATCTAACTCTAGACAGACAACTCATTTCTATTCTCTAGTTTCTTCATGTTTGATTAAGTCTTATGTTTGCTTTATGTTAAGAGTAATTTATGAGTGTAGACTAATTTATGTTTATTTTATGTTTGATGTTGGATGAACTACTTTACTTCATGTTTGATGTTGGATTGAACTTTGAATTTCTATCTGTTTGAATGTTGAAATTATTATTTCTATTTGATGATGAACTTTGAATGTTATATTGAACTTTGATTCGTTAATTATTCGAATGTTGAAACCGACCACCTAACCCACCCCGCACCGTGCCAACCCAACCCAAACATCATTGAGTTGTGAAATTTTTCTAACATCGTTAGAGCCAAATATGTGCAACCCGCACCCTTTGGGGCGGGGGAAGAAAAAGTCATATCCCGCACCGACCCAACCCATGAACAGCTCTACACACACCCATAGTGTGGTGTAAATATGAGCCGGGCTTGGCAGGTCAGTATGTGGCTTACCTCTTCGGCCCAGTACTTGGCCCGACTGATAATCTAGACTGGTCTACACCTAGTTTTTTGTTCCACGGCCCATTGCCCTATAACTTTTTCATTTTTTGAAATGTTTCTCTGTTAAATATACGGGTCATCTCATTTCGTATGGAGCAGGCAAGCTCTGCTCCACCCGTTCCCGTTGGTTGGTCGGTTGTTGTTTTTTTTTATGGCCATCTATTTATCAGTTAGACTACAACACAAATTAATTTTGGGTTTAACACAACCAATTATGGGGTCGCATTTCCAATTAATTCACCTTTAAAAAATTTAAGTGGACGTCTTGGTATTAAGAAAAAACATTTCATGTACAGTTATTTTTACTAGGAGTTTTGAATTTATTTGTATCCATTTATATATTAAGAAATCTCTTTATTTTCTGAGTTTGATAGTCTTTGTAACTTGTATGATTCTGCAATTGTAATTTGTATTTATATAGCGCCTATTGATAGTGTTTTTTATTAGAGAATTTTCTCTCTTATCATAGTTCATAGATTAGACAAATTGTTGAACCACAATAAATATTTATATGTTTTCTTCTTCCTATTAGTTTCTTCTTAATAAATTTTTATTTTTTTTAGGTCCCTACCAACCACAAAGCCTCCAACCACTCGTACTTCTATTGCATCGTTAACACGTTTTATCATCCAAATTAATTAGGTTTGAAATATACGGCTTTGCTCCCTCTATTAGTAAAATTGTTTATTTTCTGAAACACGAGGATGACACGTGTAGCTTTAGAAAGAAAAAATAAACAAAAATAAAAATTTGAAATAAAAAACCAAATTGTGTCACCCATTTTTTTTCTTTTGGAATTATTTTGTTAGATCTGCTTGTATTTTTAATCATTATTTTATCCTAATTAAGATTCTCACGTGTCTCTTTTGACTACATTTTATCTGAAAATGGACAATTTATCAATAACGAGATCAAAACTATATATTTCAAACTTTCAACAACAACAAAAAAACAACATATTTCAAAACTTGAGGTAGCTAAACCTAAAAAAGTTGGGTGCTATTCTCATGAGTTATTTAATGAAAATAAGTAAACAATCCAAACAGAACATAATAACATATTTTTCTTGTTTGGATAAAACCTGCCCCGTTTATATACGTGAATCTGAACCTCACCCCACCCTTCTGGATCAGGGGTTTGGACCTCATCATGGGTCCAATTCAAACCACCAAATTATTTTCGGATATATGGACGTCTGCGACAGAAATTTAAGAGAGAAATACAGAAATGCCATTTAGAAAAAATCATTTTTACATTTATGTCACACAATTCGCAAGAAAATATCATAATAGAGTAATATAAAAATGTACTAGTTAGTCGATTATATTTTCTTCTCGATAAAGATGATCGGATATTTTCAAAGAATATTCCGATAGATCATTAAAATCAACAAATTAAAATGTTAAAATTTTTCTCATTTCTCAAAACCCCGATCCCGAGTATTCCCTACTCAGATCCCCAAGACCTCATTCCGATCGCTTGAATAGTTGAATTCCCACAATTTGAACCATATTTTACAGTAAAACCGGATTTTAATGGTTATTGCATCAGGATATATGTGCAGGATTACACGTTCCCCTCAGGCAGTTATAATCGGAAAAAAAATAATAATAATTCTTAGTCGTTTCGTGGATAATTTGCAAATAAAATTTTTTAACAAATTATTTTACTAATAAAAATTTCCTATTAAGTCATTTTTAAAAGGAATCAGTTAAATAGGTTAGTTCTATGAGTTAACAATAGTCTTAAAAAGTTAAGTCTTCAGTTAAAATAAAAATAAAAATAAAAATAAATAAAATAAAAAAAACAGAAAAAGTTTTTTCTGTTATACATGGGCAGAAATCTCTCCTAAAAATTTGATCAAACTTTCACAAAATATTAGCGTCATTTTTTTTGTTATTCTCTTTTTTTATATTTATTATTTAACACATAAATTTTATTAATATGATAATTATTATTTAAAAAAATAATAATAAAATTCACGTGTGAAATAAATATAAAAATTGACAAAGGAAGAAAGATAATCAAATACATCCTAACTGGCAGGCCAACACCATTAATGTATAACCCGCATGCATGTCTTTTGTTCCGGACACGTAGAGCATACAACTCGTATAACAAAGCCACGAATTCCTCGTACGTGGCAACACCATTATAAATTGCTAACGAAAAGGTCATGAATTACGTACCAATCATGATAGAGATAACTATAGCTGTAGATAATCAATCAATCATGGAGAATTACAAGGATCAGATTCAGAGAAAGGGGAAGCCCGATAATGACAAGGAAACTTTGGAAGAAAGCCTTCCAAAGGAGGACAGTCCGTACCTCCAAAACAAAGACTTGGAGGACTACAAGAAAAAGGGATATGGCACACAAGGCCATCTCGAACCGAAGCCCGGCCGCAGCGCCGGCGGTGCCTCCACAGATGCTCCGACTCTTTCCGGCGGCTCCGTCACTTCCGACGCTGAAGTCTCCGCCACCGAGACCATCAACCGCCAAGGAGTCCCTTAGATATTCTCATTTGCGTGTGCATGTCTTTATGAAATGGATCTGTGATCTATCTAGTAATTACAATTACTTCGTTTTGCATTGGAACAAAAAGAAATAATTAGCCCCAAGAATTTTTTTAATAAGAATAATGATCAGATTAAGTGAATGTATTAAAAATGCTTTTTTTTTTTTTGGGGTCATTGTAATTTGTGTCTCGTTTGTTTGGCAAGTTTGCCAAAATGACTCTTCTTGGTACCAGTAGCGGAGCCAAAGATCTTTTTCCAGTGGGGGCGTGTGTAAAATCTAAGTTTTAAATTAAAATAATAGAACAATTAATATAATTTTAATTTTTTGCATATTTTTTAATTAATCTGAATGAATCACGTTTTTAATCGAGTATAATTTGACTTCTTAAAGTCTACAATCTACAAAATTAATTGTGAACTTATATAGTAATTTTATTAATTATACCCTTATTTAAGAATTTCGATTTGAAATATGAGATATTAAAAGTTAAATTTAGGGTATGTTTGAATTCTTTTGAGAATTTTCATTCAAATATCGCGAGGATAAGAGGAAAAAAATGTAAAAAGTAATTTGATCGAGTAAAATTAAAGGGACTATCTTGAATCTCCCCTAAAAGTCGGGTTTTGATTAATCCACCTTCCACGGTTTCAAGTTTGACCGAGGAAAAAAAGAAGAGCATATATAAATATATATATATATATATATATATAGCTCCTTGATGACACGTAGAGCATGCAACTCATAGGAGGAAGACACGTATACCCCCACGTGGCAAAAGAACCATAGACCAAAATGGAAAGGTCATAACATGATATAAAACGTAGACGCAAAGGAATTGCTTAATTCAAAGCCTTTTCTGATCTCTTTGTATTATTATTTACATTGCACTAATATTATTGAATAATCGATCAATATCAAGCATGGATCAGAATAAGATTGGGAGGGAGAGAGAGCCAGAGAAGAGCAATATTGACAAACATGATTATAATGAGAAGGAGAAGTTAGAAGAAGGGCTTCCAATGAAGGACAGTCCGTACCTCCAATATGAAGACTTGGAAGATTACAAGAAGAAGGGTTACGGCGCTGAAGGCCATCTCCAACCCAAGCCCGGCCGCGGTGCCGGCGCCTCCACCGATGCGCCGACTCTCTCCGGCGGCTCCGTCACCTCCGAGGCTGAAGCCTTGGCTAAAGAAGCAATCAAACGCTGATTAAGGACTAGTACTATATATATAATTTTTTTTTTTTTTCTAGTTTTCAATATTGCACTATATCTATATTATGCTTGTGTTATGGAGATAACATGATCAAAATACCTAGCTGATTAGAATAACTTTTGTTGATTATGAATAATATTCGGATATAAATGATTAAGGACTAGTACTATATATATAATTTTTTCTTGGGGTACGATCATTGACTATTGGGATAACTCTCGGTATACATATGTGATATATATGCAAAATCTGCAAATTTTTTTTTTTTTTTTTTGAATAATGTGTTTGCCTGTTTATTTAATCTAATAATCTGCATCGTGATAATTAACAAAATAACAATCCGACTTTCACCTGAAAAAAATATACTTTTGTTATTTGTGATGGGGAACTAATTGGAACGGTGTTTGATTTTATTTTATCAAAAGATTACTTTAATGGTAGTTTTTTTTTTTTTTTTTTTTCTTGAATGTGGAGGTGGATCAAAATAAACCAAAGTTGAGAACTTTTTGCAGAATCTAGAACCAACTGTGTAATCAGTGAACATAAATTTGCAATCGTTTTAAGTACTGACCAAAAATTAAATTGCTAATGCTTCTGACCATTAATATAATACAGTACACGAGCTCAATGGCTCGAATTTTTTTTTTTTTTTTTTTTTTCAGGATGGCGATTATCGCGTGGGTTAAACTAACAAGATTAATTCTTTTCAAATGATCAATAAATACCATTCTCCAGTTCATAATAAAAAAAAGGAGGTATTTCATAAAAAAAATAAATAAATAAAAGGGGTATTATTTGAGGCTGGAGTAGTAAATGCTGTTGAGAACGTTGTTGCAGTATTATTGTTTCTGAATCAAATCTCTGTTGATGTCACCGTTTTGTACTGTACCGTGCGTCATTAAAATCACAGGATAAGAAAAATGTACAAACTTTGCGAATACAACTATATAATTAATTAATTTCAGCACACAATTTTGGTCATCAAGTGCCCGTCTAGTGGCAAATACTGTGTAATGTGTCAGATCGTCTTTTTTTTTATCGAAAAAATGAAAATAAATATATATATATATAGTCATAAACATGAGCATTTTCTTTTGATTCATTAACTTTTTTATGTATTTTTTTAAATAAATATCTTTTTATTAATATAATTATTTAACTAAAAAAGTTATGAATCTTGATAAATATTTTTTAAATTAATTTAATTATTTAATTAAAAAATTATAAATTAAAAATAAAGAGTAAAAATCTTAATTCATATACTCTTAAAAAAGAAGAGCATTTGTTAAGATTATTATTATTTTTTCAAAAATAGTAGAAAATAACCCAATATAAAAAGCTTAAGAAAGTATATAGGTCAATTTTTAGTTATAGAAATTAATAGGTCATAGCTTGTCAAGTTATGGTTCATAACCAGATAAGTTATAGACAAATTTGTCAAGTTATGGTTCATACTCAGACAAGTTATGGACAAAAATCGTGAATTATGGACAATAACTTGTCAAGTTATGGTTCATAACTAGATAAATTATGGATAAAAACAGTAATTTAATCTATTTATTAACTTATGTAAACTATTAACTTATTAATTTTAATTCATTATACCTATTTTTCTCTTTCTCCCTTATTTTTTTTATCTGTATATTGTCAGGCCTAGCGACGGCCAGGGTACAGATGATGAAGAAGTCAGGCCCAAAATTTGTTTAAGGGGCTTTAATTAGGTCCAATTGAGAGACTCGCGCGGAAGTCTAAACAAAACTAAAAGGAAAAAGGAACAAATACATGTACGAGTCTTAAATTTTTTCCTTTCACTCGATTAATATCTTAAATTTTTTCCTTACACTCCATTAATATCTTTTAGTTAAAAATTATATTAATTAAAAAATATTAATTAAGAATAAATGATAAAAATATTAAAACAATGCATTCAAATGGTGAGTTAATTAATTTTCTCAAAATTAGAATAAATAAAAAAGTAGTTTTAATTAAATTTTTTTTAATATTTTGGTGGATAAAATACTGTCACATTTTAAGGACATATTTTACATGAAAAAAATCTAATTGTAATAATATTGCACCGCTATAATAAGTTCCAATTGCATATGTACTATTCACTGTTCTATTAAGTAATTAACTCAAATAAACCCCTTTAAAAAAAATTTAACTCAATAACATATTATAATCTGACATGTTCATAATAATAATAATAATAATAATTATTATTATTATTATTATTATTATTATTATAATAAAGATATATTCCATGTTTACAAGAAGACAAAAGTGCTAAATATGATTATTAGAATATTGCACCACTCTATTTGAACAAATCTTACACGACAAATGTTCATAATCTCTCAATCACCAATTAGTTAATAGTTAATAGTCAACTTATCAACAATATGAAAGGGCACAGCTTTTGCAGATATATAGAAAGCCACATCGATACTCGTCATGTAGGTACAAAGTTCACCGTTAAAATAAATAAGTGAAAAGAAGGAATTTTTCAAACCGAAATAAATATTTGCTATTTGACTTGCCAAGTTACCGATTTCTTCTATTTTTAAATAATTGTATTAATATGTTGTTTAAATAATTGGACCTTCCTATTAGGCAAAGATCAATCTGGGTTTTCAAGCAATGCATAAGAGTTTCTATTAGGCAAAAAACAATCTGGGTTTAACCGTACATTTTTAAATTTCATACTTACACATGAAGATATACAAATGTAATGTACCTAAATGTGTACTAATTAATGGAGCTAAATTTGTGGGACTCGTTTAATTTTCATGTCAATTTCGTCTGAAATGTGTAATTCATATAATAAACAAGTCATCTGTTTCTAATATAAGAAAAAAGAAAATTGTGTTCAGATCATATGTTCTTCTATATTAGTTGGTATATATGGAGATGTGAAAAATTAAGGTCCTAGGTTGAATTTAGCTCTAATTAGTAATGAGTTTGTGTCAATTTTGAACAACTTTTATTCTTTTTCACTAATTAGGTTAATTGGATAATAAATGGTTAATCTATCAAGATTCATTTATTAAACGTGTTCACATGTTGTATTGTATTAGGTTTTTGAGACGTGCATAACTCTATTGTGTTTGTGGTGAGACCTAATTGTATTTCAACAAATTCGTGTCAGTTCAAGCACAGTTCAGAAGATATACAGTTGTATATTTTATCTTATTTTAAGTTACTACTCTCTAGCTATGAATACCTTCCTCAAACAAATAATAAAAACAAAAAAAACTTGAAATAACCATGAAATGGCCACCATTTCTCTTGAAAAGCTTATTAATCGCCAGACGTATAAAGATAATATTCACTCGTTTACGCATACATGTATGTTTTCGCAATCAATTAGAATTTTGAAAGTAACGAGTAACGAAAAAGGGGGGACCAATCAATAATTTGTTGGAAGGGATTTGCCCCTTTGCAGTGAAACAACGGTACAGCGGCTTCTGTAAATTAAAATCCAACATCAACATCTCTCTTTTTCTTTTTCTTTTTCTTTTTCTTTTTATTTTTATTTATTTATTTATTTTACCAAAAGCCAACGACATCAAAACTTTTGATCTCGAGAAAATGCTAAAGAGAAAAGATAAATAAGAGCTCACTTTCCATGAGAGAACAACCTTGGCTTACATAATAAAACTCACCAGACTCTCTTTAATTATTTCTGAGAGCCTCTCTATCCGGCGCCCCTCAAGAAAACAAGAAGAAAAAAAACAATTTTTTTTTTTTTTTTTTTTTTTTTTTTTTTTTACCCTTTATTCCTTTCATCAAATCTTTTTTTATTAATACCCATTCGATAATCCAAAAGTGGCTCACACAATATTTCGCATTCCATTAATCCATCAACATTCACGTAATTTACAGATCAGCCCCGACCCTTGCTGCAAAGAGATAAATAAAACATGAGTAATCTGGCAAATATAATATTTTTAAGAAAAAATTAGAAGTCTTGCCGTCCTAAAAAAATATTATTTATGTGACTCTAATCAATAAAAAAACATAATGTCACGTATCTAATTATTTAAAATGATATAAATAATATGTTTACACTGAATCATAATAAATTATGTATTTTTTAAAAATTTTTTTTTTTTTGTATTTACATGTAGCACGGTTCCTTGATATGTGTACCACTCAATTTGTCTTGGTGTAATATTATTTAATAAATATAATCCCTAAAAAAACCAGGCCATCAAAAAGCACAATAGTATTGAAAGCGAGAGCTCAGAGACATTAGTCGCTTAGCTAGTGGCTGGCCCTCAGAAACGAACAGTTGTTTTCTACACTCCCAAACGAGCCAAAAAGTCGCACTATTTGCTATTAACTTCTTCAAAGCTTTTCCTCACTTAGCTTTTGGCTTCTTCTTTATATACCACCTCTCTCTCTCTCTCTCTCTCTCTCTCTCTCTCTCTCTCTCTCTCTCTCTCTCTCTCATATTCAAATATCTAGGTCTCTATAACGTATCATCTTTTATTCTTCTACTGATCCTGTGTATGTACTATAATTATCGAAAACCACTTCTTGAGTACTTTTTTTTTTTTTTGGTTTTGGAGAGAGAGATCATGGAAAGAAGAGATAATAGTCATGAGGAAGACGCGGAAGACGTCTCGCTCTGCGATCTTCCGGTGCTCAGTTTGCTCAAAAAAGATCAAGAAGAGAAGAGAACGCAACGTCCGGACGACGACGGCGGCGGCGGCGGCAACAACGACAACGAAGAAGCTAAAAACAACGTCCTGTTTGAAGCCCATGAGGAATTCGCCTTCGGCTCCGTAACCGGTGGCTCTCTCTCAACAGCCGCGGAAATGTGCGCCGCCGATGAGGTCTTCTTCCGCGGCCAAATTCTACCCCTACGCCTCTCGGTCAGCTCCGACGCTTACACGACCCGGCTCGACCCGGCCCGGGATTCCCGATCGGAGTCCATGGACCGCGGCTCGGTTGTCGGGTTCAGGAGCATCAGCAGCAGGAGCAGCAGCTGTAGCAGCAGAAGCACACAGAACTCGTCGTCAGTTACAAGCGGGACGTTTATAACCATCACAAGAATTGCTTCGGAACCAAGGCTCCGAACCCGAAACCAGTTCGGTTCTCACCCGAGCCCGAAACCGCAGATCCGGGTCTCGAGCGCTCGAGGGCTGGAGAGAGTAAGTAGTGCTGGACGGAAGCAGAAATCATCGATGTGGGACTTCTTCCGGCTCGGTTTGGTTCGCACACCCGACATCGAATTGCAAGAGATTAAGGCAAATCTCCGCGGTAATAGCGGTAACAAATGCACTAATTACTCAGTTACACGGAGCAGCAGTGTTAATAACAATAATAATAACAACAATTATAGTACTAGTTGCGGAGAAAATTCGAATAATATTGCGGAAAAGCAGAAGAGAAGAAATTTCTTAAGTGGATGCAAGTGTTCGGCAGAGGCAGTTGCTTTCAATGCTATAGTTGCTAAGAGCAAAGGTAATTGTGTTGCCACTACAAATGGTGACGTTAATGACGGAATTAATGGTACTACAAAGCATGTTTCAGGGACGAAAGAGAAGGCAGAACTGAAGTCGAATGGCGATGTAACGACGTCGTCGAAGATGAAGAGTGTTAGGCAAAGTGATCGTGATCATGATCAAAACAAAAGGCAAGAGGGATCATCAAGAAAGCAAGCCGTGTCACATCACCGAACGTATGAATGGCTAAAGCAGCTTTCGCATGCAAATCCTCCTATGCATGTCTAAAGAGAAGAAGATGGACAAAAAAAAAAAAAAAAAAAAAAAAAGGGAAAAAAAAAAAAAAAAAAAAAAAAAAAAGTAGTGGTCGTGGTGGGGTTGGAGATGAGAGTAGTGAAAAAGATCTTAGCAATTTTCATAAAAGAAAAAAAAAAGACAAGGAAAAAAAAAAGTACTTTGTATTTTATTTTATTGTATGTATATGCATGCCATGGACTTTTGGATGATGAAGCCTTTGGAAACAATAAGCTCAAGAGCATGCTTAATGGTTCCTTTTTTTTTTTTTTGTTTTTTTGTTTTTTTGCTTTTTGGCTTTTTTTTTATTGTCCTTGAATTTGAATGAATATATTAGTATTGCATGAGTCGATGGGGCTCTATTTTCAAGATTTTCTCTTTCCCCCCTTCTAGTGATGAATGGTGGAATATAGACGTATATGTATTGACTAAGGCCGGTGTGTGTTATAACTCTTTTAGTTGTGGATTTCGTTTTCATTGGTGAATTTGAATTTTTTTTTTTCTGAGAATAAATAAATTAATGATCGAGAATTGGAGCCGTGATGGGTGGGGAAATTATAAGGCACAGAAGAGGTGGTGGCGGTGAAGGAGGGGGTGATGGTGCTTCTCATGATTAAAGTGTGAACTTTTTTGGTGCTTTATTGGTGGTTGACAATGTGTGGGGTGTCAAAAATGGCATCACAAATGCACGAGAGAAAGACATATCATATATAAATATATATATATATATATAATATTAATATAAACACATATATGTATATATGTGTGTGGGAAAAGCTGCCGAAAGGCAGGAAATGAGGAAACAAAGAGACTAGTCTACTGAACAATATGGGAAAAAAGATAAAAAAAAATAATTGATGAATTCCAACTATTGAGAAGAAAAAAGTGAGTACTTGGAAGAGTTTGAAATGTTTCATGATTTTGAAAGTGTTAATGCGCCTCTTGTCTTTTCCTTTTGCCAAGTTGACCCGAGTGTGAGTGATTTTTATTTTTCATTTTTATTCGCTTGCTCTAGATAAGTTAAAAACTTAAAAATGAAACGAATTTTTGCTTATAATAATGGTTTTGGCACTTGGCCGGATTGGCACTTGTTACGTCACGTAAAAGATTTTGTCCAAAGTCCAATATTTAACAAGCTAATGGTATTCCGGCAAAGAAAAGATATCTAACAAGCTTGTATGTAGAGATATAAATCTATCTAACAAGGTTCAAATTAGTATGTTAACTAAATACTTTTGCCATTTAGCAAATAAATAAAAAAACTAAATATTTTTGCCAAAGAAAACATGTATGTGTTAGATTTTCTTTCTTTTTTTTCTTTTTTGATAATCAGCTAGATTTTCTTTCTTTTCTCCCACTCCTTTTACTTTTGACTTTTTCCTCGGCAATGGGCTAGGCCGAAGCAAAGTTTGGAAATTGGTAGGGCCAGGCCTGCTGATAAACATTATCGTGGTTCCAGAATTTGGACACCAAAAGTTTCTAATAATAAAGCCAGTTCTTTCCTTCCCGTCCTAGCCCATGGCAACTTCCAGACACAGAAAGAAACACTGTGGATACGAGAGATGAACATTGAAATGTCGGCTTTCTTTTGGGGAAGAATATTTTAGACTTTTGAGAAAGCAAATAATGAGAATAACTGAAAAGAACCTTTAAACATCACAAAGACAGGTAAAAAGAAAGGCAACTTCTTCAGTAGCACCCGTTGCTGTTTTAATTATTAGGTTGAGATTTTAAATGTATGATTTGTTAAAATCACATATCACAATGTTAAAAGGATAATCTAATTGTTAGGTTAACGGTAATTATCCGCAGTTAAAAAACACGAATCATATTAGAGAAATTCCATTAGAAAGTGTAGTTATAGATATAGTCTTAACGCTAATTATACACATGATTACACCACAAAGTTTAGAGTTTGAATTCACTCATTCTCAAATTTTGTTTTATAAAAAGGACATGTAAAAAGAAAAGGTTCCAATCACATGACGGACAACGCGTTAAACGTTACTGTTCAAAAATTTGACGCCAAGACAAGAAATCCATGGCCTTCTCTTGGAAATTTGTTGCTTTTTAACAATCTTGCTTAGTAGCTACGAGGCTTCTAAGATTCCAAATTTTCTAAAAGTATGTTCGGTCAAATTCGTATTATTGTGTGAAATAATAAATATTCTGCTTTTGTGTGGTATTAGCTGATTAATGCACAGTTAATTGTACTGATCTTTGCCTCACAGTCCTTGAATTATTGCATTTTGTTTGGTCATTTCCTGATAGTTTCCAATAGATGGGGGGGAGAGAGATGTACGTAGGAATGATTACTTCCATCTTTCAAGCATAGGAGTTTTCACCAATCAATTATGATATAGACTATTGTTAGCATCCACTTGTGAGAGCTCTATTTGTCCAAGCGTTTTTCCTGTAAAATCAAGGAGTTAATTAGTGACACCCCCAGAAGAATCTTATTATGAATACGATGTCCTAATTATAAACTGCTTAGAGTAATAAAATTAAAGAAAAAATAAGTAAATAAGAATACGCAAGATTTATAGTGGTTCACGCTCAATATTAGAGCTACATCCACCTTTAACTTGATTTTGAGACAATAGAATTAATCACACCTTTAAGAGAAATCACTCTGTTTTCTCTTTTTTAATCCTAAAAACAACACCCCTCTATATAAAGTAAGAACTAAGACAATAGAATTTATAAGAACGATCGTTGTATTGTCTTTGCATCGGAGTAATAACTCCAACTAAACAGAACTATAACCCCCATTTAGACAAATTTTAATGCATTTATTGAGTAATTTTCTTTTTTTTTTTCTCAATAGCAAACAAGTGAATTAGTCACTGACTTTGAAATTCACATTTTTGGACTTAATAAAGTGTTTAAACTTTTATACAACATTATAAAAGAATTGAATTAGAAATGTAATTAATTGTGTTAATTCGACCAGTCGAGTTAAACATGACACACTTACTAATTGTGCTAATCACGCTTCATTCATACACAAATTCAAATAAATTAGTTCCTTTTTTGTGTCTATTATGTGTGATTATTTTTCTTAACGCTATTAATTGATTGTAACCATTGAAAACTCGTCCACGTATAGAAAGAAATTGGTTTGATATTTTACAAAAAATAGATTATCATTGTGTGATAATGCAAGCATCTGTTTTAGATTCGTACACAAAATATCTTAATAAGTTATATTACATGCACACATAGTTAAAAGCTCCTTTGAACACCAACTAATAGGATTTCTCTCTTTTTTTTTTTTTTTTTGTTTCTTTTCCCTTTCCTTTACTTGATTAAATGGTTTATATATTGTCCCCCCCATAAGGAAAAACTACTACATTTGTAAATTTGTTTGCGTAAGCATTGTAATATAAGTACAAATAAAAGCACATATTGCCGGCGAAACTGGGTGAGGAGGGGTTGACTTAGCTAGTCTTCTATGAAAAATTTTTCTTCCGTACAAAACGGGAGTATCATATTCCCATCCATCTATGCTTGACCACCGGGGAATAATCTTATCAAATTCCAAAATCAAGAGGAGAAGAAAATATTTCTTCAATTATTTATTGAATCTTTTGGTAGGTTGGTGATCGAAATAGTGATTGGTCAACAATAGAATAATCAACGCATTTTATATCAACATAAATTTAAGATCATAAGTTGTAATTCTTCATGAAAACTAATCAAGTTTTCTCTCTTGTGTTTTTTTTTTCTTTTTAATTTACATTGTCAATTCGTTATAGAAAGACAATTAAGGGAAAAAAAAATTAAAGAATAAAACAAAAAAGGACTAAAGATATTTGTGTAGAGGATGAAGAAAAAGAAAGAAGTTTTTTCATAGTTTGAGACTTTTTTTGGTAGAATTTTTTTATCGGTAGAGTCAACCGTATCAAAATTACATTAGATAAAAAAATATAAAATAAATAATTATTATACAAATTTAATACTTGAAAATAAAAAATTATCCATGGTTCATTTTAAAAACTCGCTTATAGTTTTTTTTTAAGGGGTTTTTTTTTTTTTTTTTTTTTTTTGGAAAAGACTATAAAGCAAAAGCTAATGACTTTGTATTAAAAGATACGCAGAGAGTTGCTTTCAGTATGAGCCTCGGATTCACAGACCAATTCAGGTCCAAAGGAATAGGATTCCCTATTTTATCTGACACAGCACCAGATAAGTTTTTCTCATCCCACGTCAACTCCACAATAGAACCGTTTACTTTGAACCATTTGTTCTTATTTCTTTACTCATGACCAAAATTTAATAATTAAACACAAAAATCTCATTCAGTTTTTCAATTTAAATTAATATTTAATTTAATTTTTTAATTTAAATTGATATGTAATTTTATATGAAAATTTTTAATTATATAAAAATAAATAAATATAACTTTTATAAGAATTTTAACCGTAACAAAATTAAAATTAAAAATTTAAATCTGTAAAATAAATAAGATTAAAATAAAAACGTTTCTTTTTGGTTTTTCTATCTTTTGATGCTGAACACTAAACAGAACTATTCTGATTGTTAATTCCATTTCAGTAACACTCGGCCCCCACTTTCCCACCTCTGACTTTGCTCTTCTAAATTCACATTAACAAACCACTCAAAAACAAAACAATAAAGAAAAAACAATTAACCAACCATAACATATATTTTTGTAATTAGTCTTTTCCTTAGTGCTTGGTCATCGTCTCCCCAACCCAAAGATTTTCCGAGAAAATCCTGCAATAAACGCGGCATTCCCACGTTTCCATCCAAATTTATTTTCCAAAAACAAAATTTAATTACCAAAATCATTTCTATACATACAAAAAAAAAAAAACCAAAAAAAAAAAAAAAAAAAAAAAAAAAAAAAAGAGACATAAGAAAGATGTTGGAGTTGTGTCGTCGGCCATTGGAGAAGTGCTTCGGAGGGGGCGACGGCCGTGGAGATGGACTGATGTGGCACATGGATCTCAAGCCCTACGCCTCCGGCGACTTCTCCATCGCCGTCGTCCAAGCCAACTCGTCTCTCGAGGACCAAGGACAGGTGTTCACCTCTCCTTCCGCCACGTATGTCGGTGTCTACGACGGCCATGGAGGTCCTGAAACCTCCCGATTCATCACCCGCCACCTCTTCCCTTTCCTCCAAAGTCAGTAATATTTTTTTTTTCTGGTTAATATTGGAGGAAGTTAGTTTTGCTTTAATTTCAAACATGAATTTGTAATTAGTTTTTTTCGGTGATAAAGTTGTAATTTAATTTGTTTGGTATATATAGGAGATTAGGCAACTCACTTAAATTTGAATTGAACTATGAATAGAAATATCATGTCATTATTCACAAACAATTGTTTATAGTAATTCGTTGTAAAATTCTTCGTTTTGATGACCAGAATTCTCGACGGAGCAAGGGGGGCTATCGGAGGAGGTGATAAAGAAGGCGTTCGACGCGACGGAGGAGGAGTTCCTGCACTTAGTGAAGCGATCGTGGCCGACGAGGCCTCAGATCGCGTCGGTGGGGTCGTGTTGCCTCGTCGGCGCCATATCCGGCGACGTTTTGTACGTCGCGAATCTCGGCGACTCGAGGGCGGTTCTCGGCCGGAGAGGCTCCGACAGCAACGGCACGGTCATCGCCGAGCGGCTCTCGACTGATCACAACGTGGCGGTTGAAGAAGTGAGGGAGGAGGTTAAGGAGCTTCACCCGGATGATTCCCACATTGTGGTGTACACGCGTGGGGTTTGGCGGATCAAGGGCATTATTCAGGTATTTTAGTTAAGAGGATCTTTTTTATTGATTGCCAAATGTTGGGGGTGATTTGCTTGGATTTTGGTGTTTTAAAGACTAATTGGTTGATTTGTTTTTCTTTATGCTTTAACTGTATTTCCAAGCGTTTGTAGATTGTTGTAGTGTGTGTTGTAGACAGGTTGGTAGAGAGTTTGGATATCTGTTTCCACTTTGTCTCTATACATGTATGTATATAGAATGTGTGATGTGAGATTTCCGGTAAAAAGGGAAAAAACAATGCAGTTACAATGGTGACTATTTTGTTAGTAAGAGGAAAAAAAAGGTAATTCTTTTGGTTACCTGTGATAATGAAGTAGTTAAAAGATAATCTTGATAAATACTTTTTAAAAGTGTATGCATCAGAATTTTTACTTTTTATTCTTAATTTATAACCTTTTTAGTCAAATAATTATACTAACAAAATGATATTTATCAAGAGTAAAAAGTAAATGTCCGGATTCATGTGCACTCTCAAAGATAAATTTTTTCTAGGTTTTAAATCATAAGGCTTCAAAGCTTAAAGCAGAGCAAGGCTTTTATTATTTGGCTAGCTTATGACCTATTTGAGATAGTTTGTGCTTGTGCGTTTAAGTAGTAGAAGAATATAAACATAAGTTTGAGCTTTTTTATTAGTGTTTGGATAATGCCTGAAAAATTGTTTTTATATTTAAGAAGAGCTTTTGAACATGTTTGGGTAAAAAAATCAAAAGCACTTATGTTATAAATATAAAGTAATGTAATAAAAAGGATATGAATAAAATATTTAATTTATTGTTCACAAATAAAATGTAAAAATGTAAATAAAAGAGCTTTTTATAAGCATCAAAAAGATGATTTATTCTAAAAGCGCTTAAAAAAGTCAAAAACACTTTAAAATTGTCCATCTAAATAAGTATAAATGTGGCTTTTAAACTAAATAAGTCAAAAATAACTTTTTTTAAGTGAATCCAAACACTTTTGGGAAACTATTTCATTTTAATTTGTTTAGAAATTGTCATAAGAGGGGTGCCCTTTTTGGTGATAGTACTGTGTACTACTTTTGAAGTATAGTTATTTACTTGTACTATATTTATGTGTAAATTAGACTTAAACGAATGCCAATTCTCTAAATACTATGAAGTTTCTCATTCGCAATTAACAACATTATCATAAGATTTATTTTTCCATCATTGTAGAAATCCCATAAAGCCCTACAAGATTTAAGGGATTTCTACTCAGTTCTTCTGATAATCGCGGAGCCTTAATTGTTGCATGATAGTTGCTATTTCTATATACACGCCTTTTTTTAATTAAAAAAAAAAAAAAAAAAAAAAAAAAAAAAAAAAAAACACGCATTTTACAAACTGTACAAGTGAGTGTATTGTTTGTTCTTCATAGCTACTAGGTAATTTTTTGTTTGTGTTCCTAATTAATCTTTGATATGGAGAAAAGGGTCTAATCTATACTTTTGCTTTCTCAGGTCTCGAGATCGATCGGAGATGTTTACTTGAAAAAACCCGAGTTCAACAGAGATCCTCTGTACCAGCAATTTGGCATTCCTATTCCATTAAAAAGGGCTGTAATGACAGCAGTACCTTCAATATTGGTTCGGAAATTGGGGCCTCAAGACATGTTTTTGATCTTTGCTTCAGATGGTCTCTGGGAGCATTTGAGTGACAAGGCTGCTGTTGAGATTGTCTTCAAAAATCCAAGAATCGTAAGGCTCTCCCAATACACCGCACTTTACACATTTAAAACGTGTACGAGAAATTTTACTTGATCAATATTAGTGATCATCATCACTGATTATAACCAATCGCATGTTCAAAATGTCTTAACCTGGAGATTTAAGAGCCAATGCGTAGTTTTACATGGCAACTTCTAACTGATAGAAAACTAATGATGATATTGATAGTGATAACATCTTTTTCGATTCAGATACACATATTTAAAATGTTTTAACTAAGTCAGGCGTAGTTTTACATGGCAACTTCTGACTGATTAAAAAATAAGGGATCGCGATAGCATCTTTTCGACCTTTTTTTTACACAAACTTAATGTTAACTATCAAGTTTCAAGATTTATGATATGGCGGAGAAACTAAGAGAGTGTTTGGTATGAGAATTTATGTCATGGTTCGTGAGTATTTTTTCTCATAAAAAACACACGTAAACTGAAAATAGTTCTAAATCCGTGTCCCAAACGTCTATTAAGTTATTTGTAAAACCTGACATCGCAGGGAATAGCAAAGCGATTGGTGAGAGCTGCCATTCAGGAGGCTGCAAAGAAAAGAGAAATGAGATATGACGACATAAAGAAGATTGAAAAAGGGATCAGACGCCATTTCCATGATGATATCACTGTGATTGTGATATACCTAGACCATTCACAAGCTTCTCTAAATGGAAGATTTAAAGATCATAGCGCTTTTGACTGCACTACTGTTCCTGTGGATATATTCTCCCTTAATTCTGATGAAGATGTCTCACTTCATGGAATTAACTGAAAATACATTTGGTCAAGGTTCTTGCTGCTTTCTTGTGTATATAATTATATATAATTTACATGCTTATAGTTCTATAAAAAAGTTATAGAGAGGTGCTTCTGGCTGGGCAAACAACAAGAGTTTCAAAATAATCGTTGTTATAGGAAGGGATTGTAAGTAATTTTATTTGTAAATGGAGAGATTACAAGGTAGGAGCTGCTGTTAATTCCTAGCTTTGGGTTTTGATTGTCTTTGAATAATTTTCCTTCTTTCTTTTCTTTTTTGTTTTGTTTTTTTTTTTCCTTTTCTGGTAAATAGTTGGCTCTTTTATTGTTCTTCATTTGTTGCAAACATGCATCTCTTTCACATGATTATGTCATGTTCTATTATCTTCGGTCTTGCATTCCTTTATTTAATTTAAGCTTTTCGTCATGGATATTCTCATTGCATGTTTTTGAATATTAAATCCAGTTAAAACCATATAAAAAAAAAAATGTGAATCCAACGGAACTTGATAATAATTTAAAACAAAATTTTATCGATGGAATGTATTTTCTTCACTCCCTTCCGTAGAATTCTATTTTGATTTTGTTGAAGTACTTTCTGGTGTTTAAACAAAGTCGTATTATCCCTATATTGTTATGACCAACTTTTGTTTCATATTTGATGACGGAGTCACGAAGACCTAAGCTCATTTCATTAAGCAAAGGCTATGTTCTACAGCTTTTGAGTTTTGACTGGCTTTGGTCAACATATTAGCTTGCTTGAATGGAATAATTTTTTCAAAGTGAAAATTGTTGAATTTTATAAGGTCTATGAGCTTTATTTTTACTTTTTATTTTTATTTTTAATTAATACTTTTTTTATTAATATAGTTATTTAATCATAAATAAATATTAATTTAAAAATAAAAATAAAAATTCAGATTCATTCACCCTAAAAAATATTTTATCTCTTTTTCTAGTACTAACAGAAAAGAGCACAACCGATGAACCGAACAACAAGGGATTATACATAGTGTAGCTATCAACCGTCACTTAAGGCTTATTTGAACGTAAAAACAGATTCATTTTACCGATTTAAATTTTATTACAATAAAAAATTTTCAGAAAAAATCACATTTAATTTTTTTACTATAATAAAAAATTTTAACATATCAATTACATCTCAACTCGAATTAAAAACTCAAATCAGTGAACTAAATGATCCCTTAAAAAGCATTGAATTTTGTTAGACCAATCTCTACAACTCTGGCCACCGTCCGTTCCATCTGAATGAGAGAACATAAAAAATCTCCTGGCACCGCCCAGGTTTTGAATGAAAGTTCTGAATAGTTCTAATGCCCAAAATCCAGTCATGGCCTTCTCTTGGGCCAATGTTTCTTTTTCTTTTTCTTTTTTTAACATCCATTATAGTGTTATCCTCTATTTTTAAAAGTTTTCATTTACTAACTTAAATTTTAAATTCGTCTCATTTAATTCCGTACTATACCTAAACAAAAGAATAAAAAAATAGGCGTTGCTTACAAATTTCCCCCCTAAAAAATAGGGGTGTCTTCATTTGCCCTCTACCATTTAAAATGGCACAAAATTGGTCCCCAAAAACTAATCAAAAATTACAATTTTGATACTTTTGTCAACGAAACGTCAACTTTTAAACAATTTAAAGAAAAAAATCGCAAATGCTTCCTCACTATAACCCTCATATCGTCTATTTTCCTCACTCAGAACCCCCACGGCCCACCCATCGTCATTTTCCTATAGCCTTTTATAATTGAGTTACGTGAGCCACGTGTATTAAAAGCTATTAAAAATGCTGAAAAAACACGTTGGATTAAAAATTCTAACATCTCAATTTAAATGTAACACAAAGTTTTTAATTCCTCAAGTTTTAACCCTTTAAGTTTAATAAAAAACTTAAGCAAATTTAGTAAAATGGAGCACATTGTAATAATTTTATAAATTCAGGAGGTTGATTATCAAAAATTAAAAATTTGTGAGCAATTTACTAAACGACGGCAAGTTCAAAAGGCAATCGGGCTAAGAACTCCAATTTAAATTATAAAAATAAAGTGAGACAACTCTACTCATCCGGATCCGGGGTTAAATTTAAAATTAACCCAATTTTGGTAATATTACCTAAACAACCATTAGTCACTATTAAAAAAAGATAAAACTCGAATTTCAATACTAAAAAATAAATAATCCGTACTTCAGAGCTTTGGAGCTGGGTTTTATGGTTTACGGGAGTTAAAATTCTTCTATTTCAATGGAATAAATTCTCAAAACTTCTCATTAACTCTTTTGTTTGTACTGTTTGTTTTTAAGCAGTATTCAAATGGAAATCGTTCAATGTGATTAATTTAAAGTTTAGAGATGTAAAGTTGAAATTTTCAAAATTAGAAACAAAGCGTGAAAATGAGTGTTTTACGGATGTAAATGGAAATCATTCAAAAGTAATATGTTTCCTCGTGTCCAAATAGATTTTAGATAAAAACATGATAAAAATCACTTTGATACTATGTATTTTTCAAGAAAATCACTTTGATATTCTGTATTTTTCTACAATATTAAAATTTTTCTACAATATTAAAATGGTTTCTTGGCCTTTTAAAATTATCATTTTTATACACTTAAACTTTGAAATGTAAAATGTCTCTTTTTACCTTTTTTTTCTCTTTCTTTCAATGGTCCCAAATTAGATTAAGAAAAGACTCAAAATACAAGTGAATATTACTCTTATGCTATATCAATAAATAATTTATCAGAATTTTTTTAACTTTTGAATAATTAAATAAAGAGGCGAAAATGGTATACAGACCTTTTTTATGTTCAAAAAATCAAAATAATATTTTTTAAAACATGAAAGTATTATTTTAATATTATTAAAGACACAAAGAATATTAGAGTGATCTCTTTTTTAAATGATGATAATGATGATGATGGTGATGATGATAATAGTAATAATAATAATAAATAAGAAATTTTTTTAGAATTAATATTTAAATTTTAATATGAAATTAATATTGCCTTATTTATTCAATATTTTCCTTTTTGTTTAAATTGTTTAAGTTGATCTATTTTAATAGAATGAAAGATATTATTAAGGGGGTCAATAATAGAAAGATTACCTTTATAAAAGGGCAATGTTAAACTTTTCCCATTAAAAAATAAGGCTTTTTTTTTTTTTTTTTTTTTTTTTTAATTTTAAAATTTTCCCTTAAAAAAAAAAGGTTTTTTTTTTTTTTTTTTTTTTTTTTTTGTATGGATACTCTCCCAACATTTGAATTTGGCAATTTGGTCTTATTTAATTTATTTTTTTATTTTTATTTTTTACAATTGACTCCTTTAGCTTAAAATCTTTGCGATTAAAGTCGAATCCCAAATAAAGTCAGTTTTTTGATAATTTTAAATAAGTGTATTTTAAGGACAATAAATGTCATTTATCAGCCTCAAAGCATCTGTTGAGGACAATAATCCTTAAAAATCAAGAGTTGTTTATCAGACTTGATTGTGTTCGGACACATTAGATGATTTTAAAATTAATATAACTGAATAAATAGAATGAAAAATGACCTTTGTTGCCCTTATCAGATGCTCAGTGCGTGTCACATGATCAGAGTCATCAAAAGATAGACGCCGTTTTTAATTGAACCTTAATTTTAAAAATTTAAAAATTAAAAGGGTCAATTACTAGAGAAAAAAAATGTCAGAACTAAATTGCTAAATTCAAAATCCGGGAAACTGACGTCTATGCATTCTACAAAGAGTACTACTCATGCGTGCGTGCAGGTAGAGCTCCTATCGGCATTGGGCTTTTGAGAAAACATGGCAACTTGATGCTGCACATGTCCTCTCCAAACGGGGAATTGATCAATCAGCCAACGATGCACGTGATGATTACGGTTGCTTCCGAGGAAAATTATGGCCCCCATGTGAAATTAATAGTGCCTCACAAATGCTTCCTTTTTTTTTTTTTAAGGGAAATATTTTAAATCAAATAAATATAAACAATATTATCAGTATGATACCTTTTTCATACGTTAGTATATTGATAAATCAGATTTTATGTCTTTTAAATATACATAAAATTATGTAAAAATTAAAAAATACATAAATTTAACAGTTAAAAAATTTAACATTCTGATACGCCTGACGTACTAAAAAATCTCCTTATTAATATGGACAATCAAGACCAAAATACAAAAGTACTATCAGTATACTCAATGAAAAGCTCAAAGAGAATAGACATGTACTGAACTCTAAAAACGGACACCAAAGTAAGTACATCAAAATCAAGCATACACATTACTTTTTAAACCTCTACAATCACTGAAAAATTTCAATCTCGACCGAAATAGAGAGACTCGTAGCTCCAAGATCACACAATACACAGCTAGAAAGCAAATATAACGAATTGAAACACAACATAACAATATAAAACAAGAGAAACACCGCCAAATTAAGGTGAAGACCATCACTATTACAAACCGCAATAGAGAGTAAAATCAAAGAAAATCTCCAACATTGTTGAAAAAACTTTACACTATGTTTGGTATGATAGAAAAGTGAAAGGAAGGAAGTGAGTAGAAAGATTATTATATGAAAAATGATAAAATTTGTTGTTTGGTAAGAAGGAAGAGAGGAGAGAAAGGAAAATATGATGGAAAAAAATTATAGTGGGGCCCACCATTTTTTATCTCTCTAATATTTGGAGGAAAACTCAAATCCACTCATTGATGATTAAATTTACTTTTGTGTCCCTATTTTAAAATCTAAATTAATATTAAACAATTGATAAAATAATCATTTAGGCTATTACATTATACCAAACACTATAAAGGAAAATCAACTTCACTCATTTTCTTCACATTTTCTTTTTTTTTTATGTATTTTCTTTTTATTTTTTTTTCTTTCCCTTCTTCTAAACAGAGTATTAGTGATGAGACGACTGATAAAAAAAGGAAAAAAAAGTACAACTTGAGAGACTTATGATGTAGTCTAAGGCCTCGTTCACTTCGCGGATCCAAGTTTTTAATTCGAGCTGAGATGTGATATTTTCTGATAGTTTTTTACTGTAAAAACCTAAAACTGAAAATTCGAATCGGTGAAATGAACGAGACCTAAGTTTCACCTGAACAGAGGCGTGTAAGCCCCACAAGCCACCACCAACGTGGTAAAAAAACCTCACAATATAACCACAGGAATTCCACTATTGCGTAGATTGAATCCTTGAAGGATTTTCGATCGTCGAGTGTTTGATGCGCCAATAATAAGCACTACAAACCAAGAGCCACGGACCTTTGCCCCATCTCTGGTTCGCCCAAGGAAAGCTTCACGCCACACATGGTCCCGTCACTATAAAGCCCGCCGTCCAACGAGTTTGGGACTTATATTTTAGGACCACGAACCCATCGACCCGCCTGAGTACTGGTTCTGGAACTTTGGTCATTCCACTTTCCTTCAATCCTCTACAGGTAGAATACTATGTTTTGACCAAAGTTCTCAAAAACGCGCTCTTGTTTATAAAATTATTCAATATTAGTCCTTACGTTCATCCAATGTCAAAATCTTGATAAAGCACATAAAATCTACATGTGTTTTTTTTTTTTACTTAAAATTTAATTTTATAATTTTACATCTTAAGGCATGACTGCTAAGAAAATAATCTTTTTTTTATCAGATTAATTTTAATAATTGAATGGATATAAAATAACTAATATACAACAATTTGGCACATCGATGACCTGTTGTGAAATGTTTTAAAAGTTGGGGACTAGAATGAAAAAAGTAAAAAGGGCCGGGTCTCAAAATATGTACCGGCCCGCTATTCTACCGAATCCAGGGAGTGATAGTTCAGTATTTCTTCCCTTAAAAAGACATAAATTTCAGAGGGATTTCTTTGAGTTCATCCCCATCCCATATTCCTTGAATCCGGAGGAAAACCAAAAGAAAAGTTAGGATAAGAGATAAACTGGAAAATGCGGTCCAACTTGGCGTGATCCACCGTGAAACTATACCTCTGAGCCACTAATTCTAAGTTTCACCGCTTCCATTATAACAAAACAAATAATAAAAGATGACAAAACAGGAACAAGTAATAAAAAAATCTTCCCTTTTTCTTTATATAAGACATATATATATATATATATATATTTATTTATTTATTTTTCTGTGCCTCTTCTCTTCACTAATCGATCTACCTCTTCTCACGCCCATTGAACTTGGTGAAGTCCTAATTTCAAAATGAACATTTGATAAGATTTTATATTTTCTGCTTTTGAACTTTACGTAACATATACGATCATGTTGGTCAACTTGTTGCGCTTGACGTCTTTTACTGATCTAGTGGTGTTGTTTTCGGGATGATCTTTGAACTTTTTGAAGGATTTATTTTTTCTAATTAATTTACTTTTTTTTTGTAAATGTTGATTGACATAATTTTGGCAAACTTAATTGATTGACATACATGCGACTTCTCTCACACTTTTATGGGTGTTTTCTTTTATCTCTCTCCCTCCCTCCCTCTGGTTTGTTGAATTAGGGAGTCTCTACATGAGACTCTTTAAAAAAAAATCGGCAGGTAGAATACTATGTTTTGACCGTTAGATTAAATTTTTAACGGTTAAATTTGTGCAGTTTTGTATTAAAAATTTACACTATGCCGCGCAGAACTACTATTTTTACAGATCTGACTGTTAAAAAAGTAATTTAAAATTAAAATAGGGTGTTCCACTAATAGTTTTTTTAGAGAGTTTCACTATAAAAAAAGCCATGAAATAAATAGTCAATTTAACTCGTGGAAATTTTTGTTATTTCTTCTTTGGTTGCTAAACATTTCTAATATTCTTCTTAACTTGTTAGTGATTAGCAACTATTCATTTTAATTTAATAGTTATTATGATAAAATTTTAATTGGGCTTATCATTATTGTCTAATATCCAATAAAAATAATATATAACGAATTTTAAGCCATTAATTTCACTATATATACGAACATATTTAGCTAGTTCATACCTCTTGGTAAGTAACATTTCTAATATTCTTCTTAACTTGCTAGTGATAAGCAACTATTCATTTTAATTTGCTAGTAATTACTAAACAAAGTTTTATTGGGCTTATCATTATGGTCTAATAGATATAAAAAAAGAATATATAACGAATTTTAAGCCATTTTACTGTATACATGAGCAGATTGCTCATTAGCTAGATATTTTTTTTTTCATGGTTGCTAAAATGCAATTTGGGTTTCTGCAATCCTTTTCATTATCTACGCATTGATTTCATGACACTATGACAGTCCTCATAATACCTGGCAAGGGCTTTTTTTTTCCTCTCTCCTTGATTACACACGTGTCACTCTATATCTAAGTAACCGCATATTATAACTTGATTTAAAAATTTTAAAATGCTTTTTTAGTAACTTATTGTGTTTTAAATTCATTAAATGACGTGACAAAATAGATATAGCAAATGAACATATAGCACTCGAAACAATAGTATATATTAGAACCAAAAAAAAAAACACAATGCACTACAATGCTGTTGGATTTAAACATTCCATAAGTAATGGTTATATTTTTTGTATTAAATAATCGTATTAGAATTAATATTTAATGTCTGATTATTATTGATTGGAATCTTTTTTTTTTTATTGAAATTATTTGGAAGTGCATGTCCAACTAATATCTTGCTTGTCAATCATTTTCTAGCACTTTGTGTTGGTATTGTGGAGAAGTTCCATTATACAGGTCTACCAATGACAGAAGTTGGAGAAGTATGCACTTTGGTGAAATGGAATGCCAGGTCCAATATACTCATATTCCACATATCTCCTCCTAACATTATTCCTTAATCATGAAAACTACAACCTCTAATTTTTTAACATTCTTCTCAAAAACCCACAAGAGAGAAATTAAAAAAAAAAAAAGAATTTTTCTAGTGAGTTAAAAAAAATAAACCATCAGTAGTTTTTTATTTTTAACTCTTTGATTTGTATTAAAAACTATATATTTAGCATAATTTTTAAAATAATATGATTTTAGTTAAATTCAGTTTTGTTTTTTTTAAAAAAAAAAATCACTGATCATTCATTTTTTTTTAGAACAGAAGCTCAAAAAAAAAAAAAAGAAGTCAATAAAGCACCAAACTCCTTAGCCCTTCTTAAACATGACCCCTCGACCAGTGCAAATTAATGCCAGTGCAAATTAATGCCAAAGTCGGTACATAACAATAAACTTCCCGTAAGTGACGTTAACCCTAAAACAAAAATATCTCCTTCTGAAAAACGAATCTACTCAGAACCGTTGGATTTAATGACCACAAGTTGACAGCACAACAGCGTTGACTCCATAAAAAAAAAAAAGTCTCAGTACACTGTCGGCTAGACAACAAAAACCCGCCCCCAAATCCTTACTTGTGCGGTGGCAGTTATCCCTCGTCTCCCTGAGAGAGAAAAAAAAAAAAAAAAAACGCTTCCAAGTTACAAGTCCAACAAAGAAACAAAGGAGACGACAGACAGACAAGACTCAAAACAGTCTAGCGGTTTTCACACGATAAAAAGAAAAAAAAAAAAAAAAAAGAAGAAGATGGGAATAGTGTCTGAAGCTCACAACGTGAAGGTTTTGGGCGGTGGGAATAACAATAATAACAACAATAATCAGACGATAGTTTTGGGGCATGGATTTGGGACGGACCAGTCGGTGTGGAAGCACCTTATACCGCACCTTGTGGACGAATTCCAGGTGATTCTGTACGACAACATGGGCGCGGGAACGACAAACCCCGAGTACTTTGACTTCGACAGGTACTCGTCGCTGGAAGGCTACGCCTACGATCTGATTTCCATACTGGACGAGCTCCAGGTCCACAGTTGCATCTTCGTCGGCCACTCCGTCTCGGGGATGGTCGGCGTCATCGCCTCCGTCACGCGGCCCGATCTCTTCTCCAAGCTCGTCATGATCGCCGCCTCCCCGAGGTAGATCTCAATATATATATCAAATATTTTCAATTTAATTATTAATCCCCTTTTGATTAGTATTTTATTTGGTTCAGGAGTCATTTTTTAGTTTATTATTATAGTTAGTTGGGAGTTTTTGTGGATTATTTTATGTAAGTTGGTAACACGGCGAATCAAATTAGTAATTGTTTTTTTTTTTTTTTAATTTGATTTTAAAGAAAAAAAAAGTAGGTCACATTTGCGTGTAGTCAAACCATATATTCTAGCGGCTTCTGAGTTCTGACCGGTAGCGAACAGTAATGGTATATAAATTTGCTAATTTATATGGTATTTTTGTTGGTCCCTTCTATTAGATGTTTTTTTTTTTTTTTTTGTCTATTATATGATCTTGGTGATTTTTTTTTTATCAACTTGTCTTTTTTTTTCTTGCTGAGAATCAAATTGTGTAGGTTTAACAAACTAAATCATCTCCATTACTCTAGTTTCTAAAGATAAATTCCAGCACATTTACATTTTTAACCTATCCATTATATGATCCAAAAGTGACTTTTTCTTCCTACTAAAGAGTCTAGGTTTAACAAGCTGAATCTGTTCTAGGACTCTTTTATGTTTTTATTATTATTATTATTATTTTTTTTCTAAAGATGAAACCCAGGACGCTATTGTAGAGTCGTCCATTATTTAGTGGCATATTACACTAGCTAATACAATTTGGCCATAATCATCTTTTTCTTTTTTCTATTTTCTGGATTTAATAAGTTAAACAATTTCTAGTTTATCGTAATTAATGTGTTCCAAATTATTCTTTTTTTTATGGCCCAAATTATTCTTTTTAGTTGCAAATCATCACTTGAATGCAATAACAAAATATACAATATATTAATAATCTCTTGAGAAGTACTTGACCTGGCAAAGAATTGTCGTACACCCTAGCATATGAAAATTGAGATTGTAATATTGTTTCAAAAAAATTGAGATTGTAATACAATATTTGTATTATATAAAATGGTTTGAACGGGTGTAATTCATGTACCTTACACCTCTTACTTCTATATGCTACTGTGGTATATATATCTCTCGTTTTTACATATATGTTACTGTTAAGTCTCTAAAGACTCCTTTTTTTTTTGGTATAAATTATTAATTTATCGCGCGGAGTTTTCTTCTTTTTTTTTTTTTTTTTTTTTGCTGAATTATCGCGCAGAGTTCAGAAACATTAATTAACATGAGCTGTTGTAGATTCCCTAGTTTATTTCATCCATTTTATTGGGGGGGTACTTGTACATGTGCGCAGGTATCTGAACGACGTGGATTACTTTGGAGGGTTCGAGCAGGAGGATCTGGACCAGCTGTTCGACGCAATGGGGAAGAACTACAAGGCCTGGTGCTCGGGTTTCGCCCCGCTCGCGGTGGGCGGCGACATGGACTCGGTGGCGGTGCAGGAGTTCAGCCGTGGGTCAGACCATTTTCCAAAGCGACATGAGGCAAATCCTCGGCCTAGTCTCCGTCCCTTGCCACATTCTCCAGAGTTTCAAGGACCTCGCCGTCCCCATCGTCATCTCCGAGTACCTCCACCAGCACCTCGGCGGCGAGTCCATCGTCGAGGTCATGTCGTCCGAAGGCCACTTGCCCCAGCTCAGCTCCCCGGACGTTGTCATCCCGGTGCTGCTCCGGCACATTAGATATGACATAGCAGCGTGACATGTAGTATTTCTGTGTGTACGTAATGTAATGTTGATTTGTAGGTTTAATTTGCTTTTTTATTTGTCTCTTTGTTATGATTCTGGCAGCTAGTTAATATCTTATCAACAATCGGTCGTTTTCGTTGTAATTTTAGCTAGTACTGATTGTTTATTAGGGTTGTTAGTTTAAAGGTCGATCGGCTGCAGTTATACTTTAATTGTGTGATAAAAGTCAACAAGCACCGATCAATAATAATGTCTTTATGGATCCAAAATGTGGGGTCGCCTCTTGGCTGTTAGTTGTCTAGTCCAAATAAGAGAAGTATAATTATTACTTCTCTTTCGAAAATTGTTATGATTTTGTGTTTGTGTAGGTTCCAGATAAAGATTGAATTGTCTGTTTTGATTTTCAATGCTTCAGGCTTTCGTTGATGCATGTTCATTGATATGTTGAAAAAGATTTTTTTTTTTAAATTTATTTTTCGTTTGTTGGCAAGAGTTGAAAAATAGAATTTGATCAGATCATCAGAAAAGATGAAGGATTGAAGAAGTTGACTGTGTTTTTTATAATGTTGGGCATGAGACTCAAGTTAATTGTTTCATGGTTCATTTTCATGTGGTCCGAGGAAAAATTGGGAGAAAGTGGGCCTCTTTTAAGGGGAAAAAAAAAAAAACAAAGAGAAAAATGAGAAAAAAGATAAGTAAAGGATGTGAAGAGGAGATTAAGACAAATTGTAGAGTTTGTGATTCTGAAAATAATTAAATTTTTACAATTTTCTTAAAATCTTTATTTTCTCTACATTACAGTTTATTTTTTATGGGGTGTGTTTTTTTCCGATACATAAGAATGAGCCTAAAACAGGAAAGATGAAGAAGTTTATTGTGTGTTTTATAAGAATTAACATAATAATAATGACGCTAGCGACCACTTATTGTTGGGTAGAGGAAAGCTCTTTACTATTAGAAGCGTAGGTCTTATTTATTTCACTAATTTGAGTTTTTTTAATTCCAGTTTTGCTACAGTTAAAAGCTCTCACAAAAAGTCACATCTAACTTTTTCTGCTATAGTGAAAAGCTCTCACATAAAATCACATCTCAGCTTGAATTGAAAATTCGAATCGGTGAAGTGAAGGGGCCTTAGTTTTGATTTTTGAACTTATGCCAAAACTCCTCAACAATGTAGAATGAGGGTTCTTACAAACGAAATTCTTCGGTGCTCAAGTCAGCAAGGTAATGAAATCAGAAAAATAATTATGAATTAGAAAATAAAAAAGCATACCTCTTCGCTCACACTTCTCCCTTATAGAGGCTCGAGATTACGTGAAAAATTAGGGTTTAAATTTTTAATCATGTAGTAATCCGCATCGATTTCGTTTCAACCCTTGATCAGATTTTGTCACGTCTTTTTAGTAATCGGGTCTTCCTCTTACTTATACATCGTTCTATACCCTTGATTAGATTTTATCACGTCTTTTCTGTAAATCGAGTCCTCCTCTTATTAATAAAGCGCTCTATTTTTTTATTTATTTTACAATCTGGTCATGCATTATCTATAGAGCCTTATTATGTATATTCTAACATATTAATTCTCGCAGTCTGCAAGCTAAGATTTTAAACGTATTTTGGCGATTTACTTGCTAGATGCTAATTTTAATATCAACTTTTATACTAACTTTGAATTGTTTTCTTTTTATTGTTATCTTTTTATTACTAAATGAAATAATAATTGATATAATAATGTTAGTTCACCGGTCCATCCTAAAAGTTTAAGTTATTAGAAAGTGGACAAATAATAATTTTATAATTTAACACTTCCCTTTATATGTGGGCTGAACAATGACCAATCGTGTGGGTAAATTAATTAGAAAGGCCAACACGTTAATATTTAAGCCCGATAAATATTAAAGACCCAACACATGTTGACAATTTAAATATAGATAAAAAGTGTAATTACGAAAATTTAAACTCAAGACCTCCTACTCTAATTTACCTCCGTCTTTCCAGCAGCGACTTTCGAAAGAGTTGCACAGCCACCGAGAGATACGTCCTCTTCCTTTCCTTTGATCATCTCTGTCGTGGACAGATCTATGCTTGCGAAATCCGGAGTTATAACAACATATCATTAGTCATCTTGTTTCTGTGATAGTAGTTATTATTATTATTATTATTATTATTTCTTGTAACTATTAACTACTCTGGTTTTAGTCTTTAGAACATATTTTCACCCTTTTGAACACATGCTATTTTTTATTTCTGAGAGAGTGTGAGAAAGAAGGAGGAGGAGAGAGAGAATTTGTAAATATATATATATATATATATGTGTGTGTGTGTGTGATTGATTTTTAATTTATATCGAGAAGAAAGTAACTATGAAAAAAAAACCTATCAAAATATGAAAAATAACTTATATGGTATGAAAGATAAGATATGAAAAATAAGTTAGATTATGAAAGATAATCTATTGACTATAAAAAGATAACCCATAAAATATGAAAAGATAATATATAAGATATTAGTGTCATAATATAAAATTTAAAAATAATGGCAGAAATAAAACAATATTTTATTTTTTATTGCATTTTTGAAAATTTCCCTTCAAAACTAGTACAAAAAATTAAAATTAATGTTAATGTCTCCATCAGCCTTTTATTAATCCGAAAACCGTTGAATATTGGATTAAGAAAAGAATATAATATAGTTTTTTGGGCAATTTATCCCGCGTGGGGTTTGGTTTAGCTTTTTTAATGTGAACATAGAAGGCACAACCTTCATTTTAAAACCACAATCGTTTATTCAAAGCAAAACAACATTGTTTTGTATATGTAAATGACATTGCTATTTTTAGAACATTTCGCAAAAATGAAACGACGCTTTTTTTTTTTTTTGGGGTCAAATTTAGGGGTCAGTGCTAAATAGTCCCTAACTTTACACCAAAACGCATATTAATTTGGCAAAATTATAGTCCTTATGTTGCATCTGCTTTAAAATGTAAACGAAATAGATAACTTGTTCATGTACCATATTTAAGTGTGAGTAAATTTAAACATTTTCAGTTGCTCTAAAGTAGGATTAACTCGTTAAAACAGAGTTTGGTAAGGTATTCATATTTTGCTTTGGACTATATTTATCTACTAAATTTTAAGGGCTTTTATAACCCACCACGCAAGATTTACTTATGTCTCGTTCACTTCGCAGATTCGAGTTTTCAATTCGAGCTGAGATGTGACATTTTATGAGAGCTTTTTACTGTAGCAAAAAAAGTTAGATGTGAAATTTTCTGAGAACTTTTTACTGTAAAAATCTAAAACTGAAAACTCAAATCGGTAAAATGAACGATGACTTTATGTTTTTATCTTATATTTTCAGTAAAAATAGTACTTCAGCAATGCAAATCTAAACTGAGCAGATGAATGACATTATTCAGAGGTAGGTAAATACAATCATGTTACTTAAATAAAAATATCTAAAAAAAATTAATATTAACAATTAACCAAAAAAAAAAAAAAAAAACCAAAACACCATAAACCCCCCCATCAAAAAAAAAAAAGCAAGAAAATTTTAAAAATTATGTGTGTTCTTTTGTATGACTTGAATTCTCATGGTACAGCAGTACAGGATAATTAAAGGCAAATTGTTTGTTATTTATTTAATATTAAAAAATGATGTATTGTCGGAAAAAAAATAGTCTTGTTTTTTTCTTTCTTGTGTGTAAATAAACATCTTCTTGTGTACATTTTCTTGCAGACTATCAATAGAAAACTCTGTTAATGAAGAAGACATGCGTCTCTTTTTGCTCTCAAAAAAATTTGTCTGCCCTTTACTTGTACAAACGGGAAAGCATATATACTTGCATTCTTTATGCACGCTATGCTGTTTCTGATTAATAACCACTGTTTTAGCAAAGCTTCAGAGTCCAATACCACTTAATTTATAGGGTAAATTGTACAAATAATCTCCAAATTCTATAAAATGTGACAGTTTAGTCATCAATTTCTTTTAACGAAACGAACCCCAAATTATTTAAAATGGTGCAATGTAGTCTTTTTCGTCAGATGTCATCCAAAAAATAACGGCATAATAACCTAAAAATGTGACATTATGATCACTTATTTCTTTATGGGGTGATTTTTTAGTCCCAATCGACTTTAATAAGTTAGGATTTAGTTTTTATTTTTAGACAATATTGTCTTTTTCGTCAGATGTCATCCAAAAAATAACGGCATAATAACCTAAAAAGGTGACATTATGATCACTTATTTCTTTATGGGGTGATTTTTTAGTCCCAATCGACTTTAATAGGTTAGGATTTAGTTTTTATTTTTAGACAATATTACACCCTTTTAAATAATTTAAGGCTCATTTTGTTAAAAAAAATTAAGAACTAAACTTTCACCTTTTGACAAATTTAGAAATCATTCGTGCCAATTACCCTAATTTATATTAAAACTTTCAATTGAAGATTGGTTATATATAACCATTGTTAATATCGGATAAAAGTTCACCAAAAAAAAAAAAAAAATAGAACACTTGCCAGTTGCCACGCCGGCAATAATTATTTGAGTTGAAAGAGACAAACCAGCTACAAAATTAATTTTTTCTTTTTAATTGATATGGATAGGAAACAGTTATTTGTTGACGAATTTTTCCTTCATATAATTAATATCACAAAATTTCCTAGCAATTCTGCCGGAGAAAAAAAAAAAGGAAAAAGAAAGGCATTAAACTTGTTACGCGCGTATTCAGGAAAGAAAAAGAAAAAAAAAACTTGTTACGCGCGCAAACGTCCGTGGTACGACAAGTATCCAAACAAGGGGCTTGGGCTGGACCCAGTTGGTGTCTCTCAATGAACACGGGAACATAGATTTATGCATTTCTTAAAGAGGAAACTTGAGCAGCTTCGCATTTCAACCCGCAAGAGGACAAGTGAAAGAGTTACAAAATATTATTTGTTAAAATTGTTCCCGCCCATTAAAAGATGATCTGCTAGATTATCATAGATAATTTACAACATTTCTCTTGAGCCATTAATTATTGGTTGTTGATCAACTGTCGTCAATGAGTAATCTACTAGATTACCACCGACGTCGTCGGAGACTAGTCATTGGTACTTTCAATTGCTTGTTTCATGCTTGGAAAGAGAATGATGTGTGGTTTATGGAAAATAGAAGCATGGCTGACGGTATTGCTATCTCCAATTCGAGTCATCGACAAACCGCGACAATCACTCTAGCTCTCCCTGTTGTATGCTCTAAAAAAAGGAAAAAATAAAACAAAATTCAAAGTTTAATGTGAAAATAAACAGAATTAGGTTGATTTTAAGGATCATGCAAGGACGTGTCATTAATGAATTGATACTTGCTAGGATTGGAGAAGGAGGTCGTATGAGGGAGCAAAGAGGGGTGGTTGCGGTGGAGACAACGGATGAAGAGAGGAAAAGAGGGGGAATGTGAGAGATAACTAGGGTTTCATCCAATAAGCAATTAAGATTAAACCGGTCATTTTAATAGCGAGTCAGAGTATAAAAAATGGTTAAAGTGACACAAATTCTAACTAGATAATCCGAATACATGGAGTTTGTTGCAAGCCGCCTAATATTATCTTCTTTAAATTCTTTTTTTCTCCCTCTTACATATTATTGTGGTGAAATAATTTCAAGAAAAAGGCGCAAAAGTGAAAAAAAAAACGGTGAGGAGGTTAGATTTCTTAATGTTGTTAATAGTGTAATTAGTGGTAACGTAAGTGGAGCATGTAAAGAGAAATTTATAATGCACCAATCCTTTTATAATTTTGTGATTCTTAAATTAATATATCTAAAGAATAACAATAAAGATAAAGAGTTCGTTTGGTTCATAGTTTGAATTAAAAAAAATTTAAACAGAAATTTAAATTTTATAAGAAAAGAATATTATAGTAAAAGATTTGAATAATAATTGAATATATACAACAAACACGTGAAATTTTTTTTATAATGTTGAAAAAGCATAATTTATTGTACTCCTGTACTGCAAGGATATTCATTTAGGTTTTCCAAACAAAAAATGTGCTTTTAGAGCAAGGATTCGTGTCATAGTTCAGATTATGATTCGTGACTCGTTACAGTATTTTATTTCATAAAAAATACATATAAACTGAGAATTAGGGCCGGCAATTTCGGACACGACACGATGAAACGACACGAAAACGACACGATATAAATGGGTTTAGACTGCACGATTATTAATTGGGTCGTTAACGGGCTGACACGAATAACACGAAAATAAACGGGTTGGATTCGTGCCAGCCCGTTTAACACGCTTAACCCATTTAGTTATACGGGCCGTAATCGAGCTAACATGACACGGCGCAGCCCGCCCGTTTATAATCCATATACAAAAATAAAAATTTATATTTTTTTAAGATAAAACCCTAGCTTCTCTAATTCTCTTTCTCTCATTCTCTGTCATTCTCTCATTCTCTCACAGCCCGTTTTATTTATATTCTCTTGTTTGCATGAAGGGTGTTTGATAAAAGGGTTAACTTAATTTAACACTCTAACTTTTAAATAAGTTATGGCATGTTGATAAAATTACAAAATGCCAATGGATTTGTAGATGGATGATTTGTAGATGGACTTGTAGATGGTTGATTACAAAATGCCAATGGATGATTTGTAATGGATAAACCTAAACTTTAAATATGTTTTATGCTTTATGTACTTAAATATGCCAATGGACTTATAGATGGTTGATTATATTTTATGCACTTAAATTTTCAAATATTTGGTTATGTTTTTAAACTTATTTAAATGTACTTGGTTATGTTTTCAAACTTCTTTAGATGTTTAGTAATTGGTATGTTTTGAAACATATGTCATAAGTGATGTTTTAGATATTTTAATGTGTGTTGGCTATTATGCATGAATTTAACTATAAGTGATATTAAGTAGTCAATTAATATAGTTTTGAATACAATATAAAATTCACTATTTTTGCTAGTTGGGTCATAAACGGGTCATAAACGTGTTTTATTCGTGTCGGTCCGTCACGACACGTTTAATAATCGTGTTCGCGTGTCGTGTCATGTTAACCGTGTTATTAGCGTGTCGTGTTCGTGTTTGGGTTTCTGACACGTTTATTAATCGTGTCGTGTTCGTGCTCACTATAATCGTGTTGTGCCGTAATCGTGTCGACCCGAACACGGCCCGCGAACACGAATTGCCAGCCCTACTAAGAATGATTCTGAATTTATGAACCAAACGTCATCTAAAAAAGAGATAAGAGATTAAATTTTAATAAACTGGTTAGAAAAAGAAAAAGAGAAAAAGAAAAAGAAAAAGACCATGAGATGGTTGACACGTGTGGTACGCACGTAGGAACAAGCTATCCCACGACGATTTCTCCAACACCCGGTTCCTCTCCTCTCCCCTTCTTCCTCGCCACTTCCCCCCACTGGGCACGGTTTCATTTCATCTCTCTTTTTCACTTTTTCTTCTCGTTTTTTACATTATTGCCCTCCGTCTTACACCGACCCACTTCACCACCAGAGCCGTTGAAACAAACAACACAACGAAATTGCTAGAGAGAGAAGGAGATACTCAATCGTTCCTCCATAGCTCCTTCCGATCCGTGCTTCCGAGTCAACTCGCTCGACTCACTCTATCTTTCTCTCTCTCTCTCTCTCTTCCATGGCTCCAGCTGCGTCTGAGAGAATGGAGCTCGCCAAGCTCTGCGGCTCCCGCGACTGGTCCAAGGCCATCCGAGTCCTCGACTCGTTGCTCTCCCAGTCTTGCGCCATCCAAGACCTCTGGTTCGTTTCCTTCTCTTCTCCGATCTTCAATCTGTTCCGACAATTTCTCGTTCGATTCGATGTTTATCCGCCGAATGTTGCTTCGTTTACTGTGTGATTTTGTTTCAGCAACCGAGCATTTTGCTATAGCCAATTGGAGCTTCACAAGCATGTGATTAAGGATTGCGACAGGGCGCTTCAGCTTGACCCTACGCTCCTCCAGGCTTACGTTCTTAAAGGTCTTTTTTTGGATCATTTCTTCAATTTGGCGTGCGATTCCATCGCGTACTTTGCAAATTTGAGCTCAATTATTGTATTCCACTTGCGTTCATTTGTTTTCACTGCTATTGATCATGAATTTTTGGATAATAGGGTTAATTAGGTTGGTTGAGAAGCCCAAGTAATGTTTCTTTGAGCTTCTCAGTTCGTCTCGGTCGTGAGATTATGAAGTTGGCTTGTGCAATCAGTTATTTTATGTCCTCTTTAATTGCATGACGTATTGGCATTGATTTCTTGTGCTGTGTAACCGAATTTGGTGAAAAATCTCAGGACTTATTGAGTCATGTCGAGATTTAAGGAAATGTCGATATTCTTTTCAGGATTTTTTTTTTTTGAATAAATAGGATGTTCCTTTTGTGCAGTATTTGATCTTATTTCCTGTGACCTGCATGCGATTTAGTTGGCTATAGCCTGTTCCTATAGTTAAAGGCTATTCTGTGTTTATTCGGCATAAGAAAGTACGTGATTAATAAGAGCCAATAGCACAGATTGACAACTCTTTTAATTTGTAATTCTGTTTTCATTTTTCCTTTTGTATGTTACTTTAAGCTTTATCATTATTAGGATATAACTAATATGAAAACTGATCTTGTTTGGACTCCTTCACCCATTAACTGTTGGTGGACAAAATGTTTCTGTACAATTAGTGTTTATACTCGGTGCGTTAAATGGTGATCGCATCTATTTTTTGATTGGGGTTTATACTATATGCTTTGAATGGTGATCCCATTATGAATGTTTACATTCTATGCTTTGGATGGTTCAGATTGATCAGATTTTTTCTAATGGTGTTTGTCAACTTAGAGTTCTAGTGATTTTTGTCATCTAGGCCGTGCATTTTCTGCTTTGGGGAGGCAAGACGATGCACTTTTGGTTTGGGAGCAAGGGTATGAGCATGCTGTGCGTCATTCTGCTGATCTAAAGCAATTGTTAGAACTGGAAGAGCTTTTGAAAGTTGCCAAAGAGGGGAAAAGTACAGGACGTGAAAACCATGATATAGAGTCAAAATCATCTACGCTTGTATCTGAATCAGGACCAGTTACCAATGAGAATTCAAGTGAAACTCATGAGACTACTAAAAATTTGAATGATCAGTCTAAATTAGGTGGCGAGTCCAGAGATTCCTCTGAGGTCAATGGTAAATCTCTGGATACTGTTGCCTCTAATGGAATAAGTAATAAAGATACAGGAAAGGAACAATTTGGTAGGCATGTGAATGGGAATCACGATGTTCATGATAAATTAAGTTATGAGTCTGAATCATGTGATGACTCAAGCGATGGATGTGGGAAATTGTCAGTAATTTGCAGCAACGGAATTGATTTAACTCAAAACCAATTAAAAGCTAAATTAGACGTACCGCGCAAGGAAGTAAGCGATGAATCGAACAAAAACAAAAAATTCTGTGTTACCAGAATTTCAAAGACCAAGTCAATAAGTGTGGACTTTCGTCTATCTAGGGGTATAGCAGAGGTAGCCATAATTCTTTTCCTCAGTGTAGTTACTGATTATGTGAATAGCCTACCCATATGTTCCATCTAACAGTTTTCCTCTTATACAGGTTAATGAAGGGAAATATGCTCACGCTATATCTATATTTGACCAGGTAACACTTTAGGGACATTTAGTTGCACTTGTCCTTGAAAAGAAAATATTACTTCCTTTTCTTTTCTTTTCTTTTCTTTTGTTTTTTTCCCTGTACTTTATTCTTTCTTCCTCTTCCCTAGCTTTCTACACATTGATTTTTCCTACCACAATATATACAGCTACTGAAAGAGGATCCTAATTATCCTGAGGCACTAATAGGGAGAGGGACAGCATATGCATTCCAACGAGAACTTGAAGCTGCAATAGCTGATTTTACAAAGGTATTCGATGACCAGTGTCTGGAAGATCTGGAAAACATAATTTTAACTCTTCAGAATTCAGATAACAGTTCATTTGATTATGTTTTAGGCCATACAATCAAATCCGTCAGCATGCGAGGCATGGAAACGGAGAGGGCAGGCCCGTGCTGCCTTAGGGGAATTCGTTGAGGTAAGACCTTGTTTTTTCCCTTGCTAAAGATATTTTTCCGTTTTATACTCCAGATAAACCTACGTTCACTGGCTGTTTTTTTATTTATTTATGTATTTATTACCTAATGAAGATTCACTAGCTGTGACTCGCATGTTTTCATGTGCAGAAGACTTTGATTTTGTTCTTATGCATGAAAAATTAGATTTTCCATCAAGAGGACTTTGTTAAGAGAAGTGGAAATATAGTTATTTCCACATACTCCAAAGTCTTCTTCTTATGCATGAAAAATTAGATTTTCCATCAAGAGGACTTCATTAAGAGAAGTGGAAATATAGTTATTTCCACATACTCCTGATATAATTGATTATTGAACACGAATTATAGTTATTCAGTACCTCCAAATCAGTTACTTCTGAAATAGTTTTAAGAATCTTTTTGTTTGTTACTACACTAGCTTGACGTATAGACATTCCTTGTTGAATTTCTTCTAGGCCATTGAAGATTTGTCGAAGGCATTAGAGTTTGAACCAAACTCGGCAGATATTCTGCATGAAAGGGGTAACTTTCTCCTAGCCTTTTAATTACGTTGTAGTTGAGCTATTATGAAAGGTTTTATGCTCATTTACTTAGGTTGATTCTAACTTCTATTATATGATTTAGAAAAACACAGATGACGCTTTATTGCATCTTCATACTGTGCATCATAATTGAGCACTCATGCACGTGATATGTTATGGTAATATGAGCAGATGTATGATTCCAAATATAAGTTTTAACATTTAATTGTTGGAATAGACTTACAAGGTTTAAGAAATGCTCACTATTATTTACCGGGTCTGTTGCGTGTTTTTTTTTAACCTTAAGTGAGTGAAGTAACATACATTGCCATACATATCATGAACTCTAATTCACACACTAAAGTTGGTACTCGAGCCAATAAGAATGTTTTGTCCCCCATCAAAAAAGGTGTGGAAGTGACTGATAGGATACTCTCTTTGTAGGAATTGTCAATTTCAAGTTCAAGGATTTCTACGCTGCTGTAGAAGACCTGTCTGCGTGTGTGAAGCTTGATAAGGATAACACATCCGCTTACACGTATTTGGTGAGTCTGCGATGAATTTGACTCGGAATCTGTTTTTGTACTTATTTGGTCTCCCTATCCCCGTCATATCTTTGAATCGTGATAGAGCAAATGTTGGCTTATTAGGGATTGGCCTTATCTTCAATTGGTGAATATAAAAAGGCCGAGGAGGCACATTTGAAATCAATTCAATTGGATCGAAATTTCCTCGAGGCATGGGGTCATCTAACTCAGGTATGACGGGAAACCACTTGGTTCACTAGTCTACTTGATGTCCTTGCTTAGCCTCAATAGCTTCGCCTTCTGTGAAATTTGCCGGTTCTTTGGTTTAGATGGTCAAACTCTGCTCTCAATATGATTGCTTATATATTATGGTTACATGTGAATCATTGTGGATGTGCTTTTTGCTGCAGTTTTATCAAGATATGGCAAACTCAACCAAGGCTCTGGAATGTCTTCATCAAGTTTTACAAATTGACACAAGGTGAGTGTTGTTGATCTAGATTTACTGATTCATAGTATTGATGGTTATGTTAATTTTCCTGATGATTGAAGCTCGCAATATTCTCCTAGTAGTCTTAACTCCTTTTGTTAGGTTTTCCAAGGCATATCACTTGCGTGGTTTATTGCTGCATGGAATGGGAGAGCACAGGTAAATTCTTATAGGGCAATTATCATTTTAGAAGGATCTGTAATAGATCTTTTGCCATTTCCTTTTCTTTCTTCCCCAACCGTACACCTTTTTGTTTTTGTGGTCTATTAGTGAGTAGTCATAAAATGGGCTCACGAATCTTTGTGAATTATGAATCAAGATTTGGAGAACTCAAAATGAGGTTTAGCATTAGTTATGACTTTTTTTTTTCTTTCTATTTTTTTTTTTTTTCTTTTTTTTTTTTTTTGGGGGGGGGGGGGGGGGGAATATTATAGTGGTTTGGCCCAAGAGAAAGATAATGGCCGTAAGTGTGTATGCAAGGAAAATTCACAAATAAAATCAATTTGCAGCATTGTAGGAAACTTATAGAGGACTTGGGTGGAGTCCTAGGAAGTCTATGGAGAGCACGATGGTTGTTATAATCGGAGATGTAGTTCATGGAGTAGATTGAATTTTAGGTGAGGTTTTTGTGAAAAGAAGTAAATAGTGAAGTTGGTTTGATAGGTGGCTCTTTGTAGTTTACGAGCTTAATTAGGTTGAAATACTTTTGGGAAGTGTTGGGCTCATGATTATTTTCACACTTCTAGTGCAGTTGTCTTTCTACTTTTGGTGTTTCTTAGCTAGCTTACCTATTGCAGGAAGGCAATTAAGGATTTGTCAACTGAGTTGAGCATTGACAGTGCAAATATTGAGTGTTTATATTTGCGAGCTTCCTGCTACCATGCTGTTGGAGAGTATAAGGAGGCGGTACTAATTTTTTTTAATCATCTGAGTTTCTTTTCCTGCTGGCTACCTGTTATTAGCTGTTAAATTAATTCGTTTTAGCACAGGTCAAGGATTATGACGCTGCACTTGATTTAGAACTAGACTCCATGGATAAGTTTGTCCTGCAATGCCTGGCCTTCTATCAGGTTAGCTTAATGTAGTGTATTATGGTTAACGTGACTTGTTTGTGAAGATGAAAAGAATACTTCCCTAGTTTCCTCCATTTATGGCTAAAACATCATGCTTAGAGGAGCGTTAAAAGTTAGCTTTCTTTCATCTGAGCAAGTTCTGGCCTCCATGGCACGTACGTAAATACATATTTATTAATTTTTGAATTCTTAATTTCTGGTATTTTTCAGAAAGAGATTGCTTTGTACACAGCATCCAAGATTAACAACGAATTTCATGAGTTCAATATTGATGGAGATATTGATCCCCTTTTTAAGGTAATGCACGTTAAAATTTACATTTCTTTTTATTGTAAAATTTCAGTTCTTTGCAATTTTGAATTTACCTTTAGTCTTAACCTTATTAACCGTAATGTATACTTAGAAAAAATGTAATACGAAATGGAGATTGTAAATACGATGGGAATGGTGAGAAGAATATAAAAAATCATGAGTTAGGTGATATTTGGTCAGGCTCTTGATTGGGCCACTACATGATAGAGCTAAGCCCAAACCGAGCCCTTTTTGCAGTTCCAGTCTTACCAAAGTTTTGTCAAATGCGAAGGCATTATTGTTATTTCTGTACAAACCTAGTCCCCTTGCCATTCTCCAATTCTAGCGTTGATTGCAAATTATTTTTTCAGGAGTACTGGTGCAAAAGGTTACACCCCAAAAATGTATGTGAAAAAGTTTACAGGCAGCCTCCACTACGTGAATCTTTGAAGAAGGGGAAGCTTAGAAAGCAAGATCGTGCTGTTACTAAGCACAAGACAACTCTTCTCCAGGCTGCGGATTCAATTGGGAAGAAAATCCAATATGATTGCCCTGGCTTCTTACCAAACAGGCGACAGGTGATTTTACAACAAGAATTAGATTAAAAGTTCACCCCTCTTTATAGCAAGAGCTTTTTCCTCTGTTATTCTTATTCCAACTAAGAATGTAGGTAGCTCTTGTTTTATAATTAAGTTTAACTTTAGGCATAATTTCAATCTAGCATCCAGTTTGAGGTATAAATCATGTCTATGTTTCTGTTATTTCTTACCCCTTAGAAGCTGAATTAGTCATTGAAAAGAAAAGAAAAAATCTGGTAGTTGTTGCATTTGTAACAGCATCGTATGGCGGGGTTTGCGGCTATTGAAATTGCCCAGAAGATTTCAAAAGCTTGGCGCAAATATTTAAATAGAAGCACATCAAAGCGTGGTAAGAAAGCACGGAGAAGGGAAAGAATCAATATGCCCTGCCAGAATAGAGGCGGTGCTGGCTGCAGTACAAGTGGTTATTCAGAGCCGACTTCATACAACACGCTGGAAGACAAATCATCTAGCAATTTCATGCTTTCATGGCAAGACGTTTACTCACTGGCTGTCAAATGGAGGCAAATTTCTGAACCTTGCGATCCCATTGTGTGGATTAACCAGTTGAGGTATTTCACTTTCATGTTGATTTGCCCATGTTATTTAAGAAATGAAGTACACAAATTTTAATTTGAATCTGGTCTTTTGTGGCCTTCAGTGAAGAGTTCAATGCTGGATTTGGATCTCATACACCAATGGTTCTTGGGCAAGCAAAGGTAGTCCGCTATTTCCCAAATTTTGAAAGGTAAATCACTAAATTATTCTATGCTAGTATTGAACAACCCAAACTCTTCTTATTTATTATTATTATTATTATTATTATTATATATTTTAAATTTGGAAACGATGGTCATTTCTTCTTGATGCTGCAGGACGTTAGAGGTCGCAAAGGGAGTTATGAAAGATAAACGTTATGTCTATAACAAGACAGATGGTGTCATTGATCTTTCTGGAGACGGGAAGTTGCAAGACGTGAGTTCTTTTCCATGCTGAGAGAGGCCCATACTTCTGGAATAGCAAGAAATTAAATTTATTGCGTGTTTACTTGTTTTAGCTTCCTACCTAATGATTATGATTTTATTATTTTGTAATTTTTATTGGTCTATGTCCGTTGAATATCAGTTTAAATATTTGTACTACTGGTAATATAACTATGTACATGCAGATTATGCAAGCAAAATCCTGCTCAGATTTGTACAGAGTTGTTGGTGAGGACTTTTGGTTGGCTACGTGGTGTAACAGTACTGCCTTTGAGGGGTAAGAATGCATTAACAATTTACAATGTAGTATCCTGGTGATTTCAAATTTATGTCTTGCTGTTGGAGTCCGAGTCAATTTCTGTTTTAACACAAAAACAACTACTTTGATCTTTCTCTCACTAAAACTCCCTCTCTCTCTCTCTTTGTCTACTTGTATACATTTGTTTCAGGAAGCGGCTTGAAGGCACAAGGATTACACTTGTCAAAATGTATACTCTTCATCTTTGCTGCGTTGCTTGCCACTTTCCTTCTGCTTGTTTTATTTTTTTTAGTTTCTGTTACAAATGTTTCCATTCTGTGTCTCAGTATGCCTATTGACTTGGAAAAATTACCTTATCCTTGCAGGGGAGAGAGAGGATTTGACTTTGCAATCAGAACACCGTGTACGCCGTCAAGATGGGATCAATTTGATGCAGAAATGACAATGGCATGGGAGGTATATTACCTGAAATCTCACATGAATAATCACTTTTGGTCCCACATGTACCCAAGTATAGAATGTGCGAAACCATATAAACTTGACAATTGACATTACCATAATTCAATGATACTATCGAGTGCTCAGGTCACTCAATAGTATCATGCTTTTTGTGAATTTTTGACACGTGATAATATTGTTTCCCAGACATACGTTATGTCTCCTTCCTGATTCAGTGATCCTGTCTATAGAAACACAATGTTAGGGTTGGAACACACCTGTTAAAATATGAAAAATGAGAAACGCATCTGGTATCTTCGTACTGCACCTTGGTTTTTGGAACACCTAGAATCTTTCCCACAGTTTTGGGGTCTGTATAAGTGCGTCCACCTTGACTTCTGGCTTAAAATGGCATCTTCGGAATGTGACATATCTGACGCAATGTTGCTAATCTCTATGAAGGAGATTGATGAGAATATATAATTCACTGATGATGACGGGAATTGTTCTTATGATCTCTTGCTTGGCCTCAACCTGATGTCATTCCCAGGAATTTCCTAAGAACCTTTCTAAATAAGAAAGACTTCCAGTCTAGAACTGCATAAAATATGTATACTTGTCCAAAACAAACTGAATTAACTATAAGCACAATCTAGTGTTAGAAACCTATTCTAAAACCTTGCTTACCTTATGCTGCTCCCACATTCTTTTAAGGCATTCTTTCGCATGTTCTATTATATTTGGAGCCAAAAATATAACCAAGTCTGAGCCATGATTTGGATCTGAATACTTTGGTTTGTTAGGTTATTTATCCTACAGTCTTTGTGCATCTTTGATGAAGTACTATTTTTCTTTTCCTGCACTCATTTTTTAAAGACGTCTATATCTCTAAATTGGACTGGCAGGCTATATGTAATGCTTATTGCAATGAGAACTTTGGATCTACTGATTTCGATGTGCTTGAAAATGTCAGAGGTGCAATTTTAAGGATGACATATTACTGGTATATCCCTATTCCCTAGGATTTTTCACGGATACTGGGTAGATGAGATTTGGTGGGCTTGAATTTTGAGACAGTGAACAGTTCTGTATAAACCAAAACCAAACTGCTTTCAGGTACAATTTCATGCCACTCTCAAGAGGCTCTGCTGTTGTTGGCTTTGTCGTTATGCTCGGATTGCTTCTTGCCGCTAATATGAGGTTCACAGGAAACATCCCAAAAGCGTTACAGGTGGATTGGGAAGCTATTCTAAACTTCGACCCAAACTCTTTTATAGATTCTATAAAAAGTTGGCTGTATCCGTGCCTTGAAGTAACTACATCTTGGAAAGAATATCCAGACGTGGCATCAACATTTTCAACGACAGGATCAGTTGTTGCTGCTCTGAGCTCCTACAGTGATTGAGTCTCTTTTATTGTTAAGAGGTAATTTATCTGCAGCAATAACTCTCTAGGAGTCTAGGACATATATAATTGCGGACCACTATGTGGCTCATGATAATAGCAAAATATGTTGGCGATGCAAACCAAGCTTTGTTAGTTCAGTTGTGACAGCTTGTTCTGATTAGGCTTGTTAGCTTTGAAAACTTGTTCGGTCAGCTTCTTTGTTTGTCACAGCTTGGGTTACTTGACCTTTTGCCATATAGTTATCATATCTGAAACTTGAAACAACTAATTTACGCATTGTATTAGACCGGTATATTCCAAGGCCAAGCATCGGTTTGTTGGCTACAAATACCAACACATGATCAGTGATATTAAAATAAGTGTGTAAATCGGTTTCAATTGGTGCCTAAACCAAAAAAATAAAAATAAAAATAAAATAGAGGGTTTCAAGTCGCGTTTTAACCGTGTTCTGTTTATCTGACCTCTGTGTGCTGATTTTTAAATTTGGCTCTATGGCAGCTGCCATCTGCGCAATGATGGTATTTTTTCGCTCAACAGGGTCGTCTGCTAATCTTGGACTGGAGGGAAAGTCGGTTAAAATGTATGCAAACATCCTTTATAAAATTTTAGTTTTTACAAAATTTGTTGTACAGTATGTTAGGACAATAAAACTACAAATTTAATTTTGCCTACAAGTTCTAACTGTCCAAAACGTGTCGTAGACTAGTAGATTTGCTTCGTGTGTGGTACTAGCAGTTCATAAGGGATATTGTCTCTTTTCAGCCATAGACGGGTTTCAACATGTTTGATAGAATTGGGTTGTGTGATTATCGATTCTCTACAAAATCAGAGTTTTGTTTGGTTGAATAATCTGTTTCACTAGCTAAAAAAAAAAGAATAATTTGCTCAAATTTTTTAGGACGATTGCCAAGTTATTATAAATTTGACTATCAAGAAAAAAGTTATTTTAGATATTAATTATCTTTTTTACGCTCTCTCTCTAAACCAAGTTCAGTGAGTAGGGTCAAGGGCTTTTAAATTAAGCTGTTGATTAGTTAAAAAGTTCTTCGAGAAGGTATTTTTACTTTGTCAAACAAATCTAATCACAGATATGCTGAGCGTTCCATACCTACTAAAAGATAGTTATAAGACCTAATTTCTTCAAGATATGACCAAGTACATCAATTATTTGTGTTAATTGCTTACGTAAAAGCGCAATTAGAGTGTTAGGTATGTTTTAATTCAAACCAAATCTAAGAAAAGATATCTTTAGGTTTTATGGTAAAGGATCATTAATCTTTGCCAGATAAGAGTGTCTTATATGTTGATCGACATTTGATGGAGGGCTCTAATGGGGCTCTGGTTTGGACCCCATTGCTTTCAATTTTTGTCTTATCAAAACTTCAGTTCTTTTGAAGTGCTGGCGAACAGCTATTACCTTTTGGCTTAAAAGGTTTCAATAACATTTTAAGTTAAAAGGGTATTAAAAGAGAATTATATTGCAGCGTGAGCCAAAAAAAAAATTGTGGGGCTTTGTTTTAAACTGCATTAGATTCTATTAATTTTACTTAGGTATCGTTCATTTTACCGATTTAAATTTTCAATTTCAATTTTGTTACAGTAAAAAATTCTCATATAAAGTCACATTTAACTTTTTCTGTTACAGTAAAAAGTTTTCATATAAAATTATATCTCAACTCAAATTAAAAACTCAAATCAACGAACTGAATGAGGTCTTATTTTTTTCATTTTGATATGATTTTGACAAGATTAATGTTCATAAACATGCATTACCGACAACGATAAAGGTACTTATCATAGAAAACTCCGTTATTATACTTAATAAGATTACAAATTTAGATGTAAAGAGATAATGGTTGAGACTTGCGAGTGAGTAAACATTAATGCCTCGTTCATTTTACCGATTTGAATTTTCAGTTTTAAGTTTTTACAAAAAAAATTCTCAAAAAATGTTACATCTATCTTTTTTTGCTACAGTAAAAAGTTCTCAAAAAATGTCACATCTCAGTTTAAATTAAAAATTTAAATCCGCGAAGTGAATGAATTTGAATTTTCAGTTTTAAGTTTTTACAAAAAAAATTCTCAAAAAATGTCACATCTATCTTTTTTTGCTACAGTAAAAAGTTCTTAAAAAATGTCACATCTCAGTTTAAATTAAAAATTTGAATCCGCGAAGTGAATGTGGCATAAATTTTTAAGTAGGGTTGACTTTGTGGTTATGGAATTTCCAAAGAGAGGGATTTCTAACATTGCTATCTTGAATTTGGCGTAATGGGTCCCTATCTTTATGGATGAAACTGAAGGCTTTTGTTCTGATATTTCTGAATTACATTGAAATGTACAGTATGTACGCGTGGAGGTTCCGTAAACCAGAATATGAATACATGTACTACATATACTGTACTCATCGTATCGTGGAGACGCTGGACCGCACGCTCATCAACAGTCAATATTCATTGATCAATCTTCATAGTCCAGTTGACGTTTGACCCGCATGCTAATGATCAACGGTCAATATTCATTGATCAATCTTCACAGTCCAACTCCTATATTGTGTCTCACAGCATTGATTGAGCTCTCTAGATTCTTACCTTTTTTCATGTGTGCCGAACTGCCAATCTGGTGATGACGGCGAAACTCTTTTCCACTACGTCCTACCATTTCTAGCTTTCTTCTCCTCCATGGCTTTTCCATATTGACGGACTCACCTGTAAAAGATGAGAAAACGACATAAAAACAATATCGTTACATTTCCGAAAAAAGTTTTTATGCAGGTGCAGCTTGTCCTGTCCCACAATATCATTGTTCATCACTTTTTTAATGTTATCACTTTTTGTTTTGTTTTTTGTTTTTTTGTTAATATAATGTTGTCAGTTGAAAAAAACTCAGTTAACAAAGTTTGATTATAATTTATAAGTCTCACATAACTAGGGTAATTGATTGCATTAGGAGTGAAGATAATACAATATTTATTAAGATCTTAACGCAATTAACATATTGAAAAAATGAGACTTACTTGGAAGACCGTTGATCTTTATCACCATGTTATCAACTTCATCACGGCCGTTGGTTTCACGTACTTTGTCGTCTTCTCCTTTGTTATGCGACCTTAACCTAGCCGCGGATGCGAAAATCCACGTGGCATTCATCTGCTTGTTCATCATACGCGCAGCGTAGTACGGTATCCTCTCACGTTTGGTCTTGTCAGACCTGATCCTGCCCTTGACAAACATCAAGCAGTCCATCAAGCTCTCTCGTGCCAACCCTTTCATATCGTAAGCCTGCGATCGCCTCCACAGGCTCTTACCATGAGGACTCACCTCACTGGATAGGCAAAGTGCTCTTGTTGCGTCACTAATGGCTGATTCCGGGTCTCTCAATAGTAAATGACACTGAACTCTATTGCTATGAAGCACAATTCTCTCTTTCCTCCTTTTCAATGGACACAAGTCCAAAGCTTTCGAGTACTTCATCACAGCCTTTTCTATGTCCCCTGACCAAAAGTATAGATTCCCTTGTTTTTTCAATTTCGCCGCCGACAATTTTCTCTCTCTAATCTCATGTTCACACAGTAACTTCTCTCTCCTCTTCCTATCAACCTTCAAATCCCATATCTCCCCCAACATTTTCTCCGCTTTCTCACTCCTCAACCTCATTTTCCCATACTTTATTTTGTGGTAATCTTGGAGAAGCGCCTGTGTGATTCTCTGACCAACTTTTGGCCTTCCTTCTCTACTTCCAAGCTCCACAAGATCGCCAAGAAACAAAACTGCAATGTCAATGACTTTATATCTGCTTTCTGGGTCTTTGAGAAGAAGCAAAAGGCAATCAATTCCCATCATCTGATAATCATCTGATGACCTTGAGACATTACATATTGCCTCTATAACTTCCTCCAAATCAGCCAAACTTTGTCTTCCGCTTTCGGTCTTGCACAAAGTTCTGATCAGTCCAATCCCAGCCGGTGATTTAGGATTAGTCAAACCGCCCCACATTTTACACACTTTTTTCAAGAACTCTTTATCACAAATCAAACTCAAAGACCTTTCTCTGCATGCAAAACAATTGAGAAGATACAATGACCAACACTGGAGCTGACTAGCCCATTCCTCGGCTTTTCTGTTCTCTGTCTCCAACACTCCAAGCCCTCTTGTGAGCAAATTACAATGGTAATTCAATCTCTTAAATTCCTTCACACAAGCAAACTCTTCATAAACCTCTTCCACGCAAGTAGAAGCTACTTCCATGGCTAATTCCACAATCTCACGTTCATGAAGCGCCGCAATGGCTTCAAAACTCGTGTCATGGCTAGCCATGTGCCCGAGAGCTCTAACCGCGACTCGCTTCTCGACCCAAGTGATCTTTCCCCTCAGAAGCTCCATCAATGGCAAAACCACCCCCGACTTCGCGGCCATGTCTGCGAACTCAGCCTTGTTCATTGTGTATGAGCCTATAACATGAGCTGCATAGTAAGGGATATAGATGTTTTGATCGTGGAGCAGCCATCTCTTGTCACTGACGGCTCTTTGGATTAGCCTTCCAAGGCATTCAAACACTCCGAGAGATGGGAATTCCGGGTCGTTGGGGTGCTTCATTGCGATGTTCCAAAGACCATTCAGCGCAAGAACATGTTCTTGGTCGTCTCTTAGAGGCATTTCTTTGAAGAAGTTGATGAGTTTTGATCTTCTGCGAGATGGGTTTGGCTCGCTCATGGCGCAGAAGAAACGAGAAGGGTTGGAGCAGCTAGTTTGCTGATCAATTCCAGACATGTTCCAATTGGAAAATCTCGATTGAGAGTTTGTGATATAGGTATGTTCTTTTTTCTTTCTGGGTTTTTTTTTTTTTTTTTTTTTTTTTTTTTTTTTTTTTTGGGTTTTTTTTTTTTTTTTTTTTTTTTTGCGTTGTGGGTGGATAATGGTTCGTCAGAAAGATGCTTAATTGGTTTGATAGGGGTCTGGTATGCTTTGTGCCAGGAGTGACACCTAGATGAACACGACGCGACTAATGAAAGAGAAAAAGTGTGAGTTACAGTGGAGAGAGACTAAACTATATATGTGTATATTATATTTAATTATGGCACTGGACAAATATTGGGGTACGTGTGTAGGTGTTCGTTCGTTCTTTTTCCTTATCACGTGAAATCATAAGAATAATTATTTTAACTGTTAGATTAATTTTTTAATAATTTAATTTATAAATATTTAAATTAAAAATTTACGGCGTTTGATATAAAACTATACCGTTCATAAATTAAACAGATAATAGTTAAAATAACAGTACTTACCCACAGTGAAAAGTACACAAAAAAAAACCGTCGCTACCACATAATTATCCTCTTTTTTATATTGTATAATACATTAATAACAACTTGTTTAAAGCTGTACTGACCAATAACTGGGCCGCATTATTGCCTCTCCAACATCAGATCCAAACACGAGGAGTTTCAGTTGTTTCAATGATATTATAGTATGAGGACTTTTGTTTTACACTTTTTATGGTTGTTTACGAAGAAGAGGATGATGACGACCATCAGCTTCCTATTAGCTATGACCAACTGAACATTAATCATTGATCACCAGGATGAGTATTTTTTTTTCTTACTCCTCACTTGGAAGTAATTACTTTTACGCTGATATATCATGGCAAAATGTACTTGGTTGGCTACATGAAGTCCATATGTTAGATTATATTAGCTGAATCCACGAGTGACTCGTGAAAAACTGGGAAATGGAGTAATGGACCACAATTATATTCAGGGCATAATTTGAAATAAGGGATATGAAATATTTTATACATATATGTAGATATATAGATACATGTATGTATATAATTGAACAGTATAGCAATGAAGAAAACCTGCAGGGGGTTAAACCTGCCATCATGTTACCCTATCTGCAATCTCATATTCCCTTCTAGATGAAGAAAAGACCTCTTCTGGTCCCCTCCATAAAAAGCCAATTTTAAATCGAACTTTGATTCAAAAAAATAAAATACTACTGCAAATAATATATACAGGATTTTATTATTATTATTATTGGAAGCCAGTTTAACTCGAAAAAGTGAAGCCGAAATGGCATAATATAATAAGTCTTGCAAGTACAACTGGGTTGGTCTCAAGAAACTGCGGCTTGATTACCAAATGCGAAATCCAATTACCCCATGAAAAGCAGACCTAAAGACAGTTATATTTTAGTCACTCTAACTTGGTTTAATAATGGCATTCTGCCTAAAACAAAGTGCCATTTTTGGAAGGTAAACTAGCTTTGATGATAGATTGATAATCAAGAAGGCATGTCCTAGTTTTAAGTTTGTCGTTCGGCGTGCACTAACCAAGAGTTCAAAAGCACATGATCTTGCAGATTGGCAACTCAGCATCACTTTCTTTCCCTTTTTTTTATTTTTTCCTTTCTTTTTTTTTTTTTCCTGCAGGGCGTGTTTTAAGAAGCATATTCTCCGGAGAAAAAGCTTTTTTAATTAGCATTTTTCATGCATGGATCTTACTTTTTATTCAAACGGATTTGTTAAGTGATTAGTTTTGACTATGAATGTGTGCGTGCATCGGTTTAGAAGTGAATTCTGAGGGTGCTTTTGAACAAGCACGAGTTCTTTGGTACAAGAATTGGATATGGGAAAAACATACTGAGTCCAAATCCTATAACATCCTTATAATTATCAATCAATTTCTTCACTCTTATCTCCAACTGATTACCAATGTCATAGTCGTATAATTAGAACTATTTGGTTCTGCAACTTCAGAATTTATGTATACAGTGGTTGGATAAAGAAACCATCTATGCAATAATGTTTTTATTCTAATATTTATGTCATTTCTAGAGTGAAACTAGCTAACAGTAAGCTAAAGAGTTCTCATTCTGAAAAACGTCAGCTAAAACGGAGCCCAACCTTTATAATAATAATTTTCTCTTTTCTTATCTCCCAATCAGTCATATCTCGAGTCTCTCTCTTTATATCTCCAATTAAGGTATGTTTGTTTTACAACTTAAGTTGAGAACTTAAGTTATGTATGTGAGAGAGAAACACTAGTAAAAAAATTAAATTTAAATTTTTTGTGAGAGAAAACACTATGACAATAGAACTTGAGTTGTGACTTGAGTTGTGAAAAGAATAAGTATTTCAATTGTAGTTTTTTTTAATGTGATTCGAGTCTAAAATAAAACCTTTTGTGTTGGTTATTGATGTAGAACAGTTAAGAATGAGAAGAATAGAGAAAGAAAGACGAGGGATAATTTAGAATTTAGAGATAGATAGAAGAGAACAAGAGAGACATTTGTTTTTTTTTCTTGGTTATATCTCATATTTGAAATTTTGGTGGGCTTGTTTTCATGATTTTGGTTGTTTTCTACTGGTTTTTGAATTTTTGAGTACATACCATATTTCTAGGTAAATACACTATTTACTAATCGCTAACACCAGTAGTAAGACATTTGAATAAATAATGTATTTTGAGATAATTACGGTGTCGGTGGCAGGATTTTCAAGAAAATACAATATTATCATATAAATACGATACTGAAGGGTAAATCCAGTATCTACCGGTCATCAGCCCCGGAGAGCAGATTTTTGGTAATTATGATATTTTCAGGTAAATAGAGAATTTACTAGTAAATACAATATTTACTGATAAATATGGTATTTAACGATCGTTGGCATTGGCGGTTGAATTTTTTAATAAATATGGTATTTATCAGTAAATACGGTATGTACCAGTCGTCAGCACTGGCGGTCAAATTTTCAAATTTTTTTGATAAAAATTATATTTATTGGTAAATACAATATTTACTAGTGAATACGATATTTAGCAGTCGCCGATGGCGGCGGCTAGAGTTTTAGATTTTCAGATAAATATAGTATTTGCAAGTAACTAAAAAATTTATTGATAAATACGGTATTTAATGGTAACCGGAGCCATGATCGGATTTTCATATTAATATGGTATTTACGAATAAATATGATATTTACTAGTAAATACGGTATTTAGTCGTAAATACTGGTTTAACGATCACTAGATTTTTGGATATGTATCGTATTTACAAGTAAATACAGTATTTACCAATAGCCGGTGTCGGCATCTGAATTTTCAGATATATGATATTTACTGATAAATAAGGTATTCACCAGTATGACAACACCGACGATCAGATTTTTAGAATTTCAGATAAATATGGTATTTACAAGTATATACGATATTTATTAGTAAATACAAATGCGTCAAAAGGGTCGTGCTGACCTTTCTGACTCCTAGCCCATAACAGGCCTAGGCCGTGCCTGGCATGGCCCTTTACAGTACAGAGTCGGGCCTCGGTCCGGCCTAAGGAGAGCCTTAACCCCGGCCCTTGTGTGAGGCCTCGGATCTACCGGGCCTCTTGATGCTAATTACTTCAAAACCCCTACTTAATTAGTTACAATGGAAAATGTACTTCTCAAATGCATACACTAATTGTTGTTATTCTGTGATGGTTATGACATATTAGATGTATTTTTAAATCCGATTTAAGGATTTTCTAGTACCGATTGACATAATTAGTCGTTATCAAACTTAAAAGATTAAGCATATCAGGAAATCCTAAATTCGAACATGATGAAAGATGGTGTTACTAATTGATTAAATTGACAAAAAGAAATGTTAATTAGAATCCCAAATGATTAGTTCAATCATGATTAGCATAAGCTTATTCATCAAAAGAAAATCCTATGCTTACCTTATTTTTATTTTAACTTAAGATTAAGATAAGTCACATCAAATAATCAAGGGTGAAGATCAAATCTCAAGATATCTATGGATGAGGTTTTGATACTTGAAATATTCTAAGAACCTTAGAATCAAGGGTGGAGATCGAATAGGGGAAAACAAGATCAATGGTGCACACACTATGCTTCAATTTCAATGGCTAGGAATGGAGATGAGGAGCCCGTTTGGTTCATGAATTAAAACCATGAGATTAGAACTATTTTCGATTTACGTGTATTTTTTGTGAGAGAAAATACTGTAGCGAACCATGAACCATGATTCGAATCAAATAACGAATCTTCCAACCAAATGGGCTCGAGGTGATCCAAAGGCTAGGAAATGGAAAGATAAATTGTAGGGACCACATGTAAGAGATGACCTTTTTCTTTTTTGGCATGGCTTTGGTCAACATAATTCAAACTTTAAGCAAAAATAAGAAGAGTGTAAAGTGCTTTACTTGAGGTGCAAACTAGGCAAGTTTTTAGACAAATGGTACAAGTACCATACAAGCAAGTAAATGCTTGGAAAGGACACTTTTGTTCCAACTATATGGAACGGTTTTGCTGCTGGAAATCCCTCAAGAATGGTCCCAAAAATTAGCCAAAAGCCCCACTATAAAAGGTTTAAGATGAAACCCTAAGTGTCCACTTTCTACCTCACCAAAATTTGAAGAAAGTCCTCTCTTTCCCTCCTCTCAAAACCAGCAACTATCATTCCTATTTCAAAGCTTTGGAGGAGGTTTGATCACCATATAGAGAGGCTTGGGGACGTGACTTAAGAGCAAGGAAGGCTAACATTGAGGTAAAAGGTTATCTCATAAACCTTAGAAACTAACTACACATGCTAAGCTATTTTCGGTTATGCTAGTTTTAGATATCTCATAGAAAATGTGTTTATGGTATGGAAATGAGACATTGGAATGCTAAATCTTGATAATGGCATGATAATATAGGAAATGAGCTATAAATAAATTTTTGGAATCACTTGATTTGGAGTTGTTTAGGCCAAGATATGTTAGATTTAATCTTTGACCATAATCAGTACACTCATTGTGACCAATAAGGAATACGTCTATT